TATATACGCCATGCGCAGTTTAAGGGTTAATGCAGTTAATGTAGCTGTGAACCTGCAGTGCACCCCAACCAGTCAAAATGTTCACCCCCAACCAGGGGTTTAAACAGGGGGGCCAAAGACCCATGACAAACCCGAGGTAAAACCCCCATTCACGTGGTTCAGCCTCTAAAGAGCAAACTTCCAAACACCAAAGAAGGGAAACTCTTGTCAGTGCTAGGAGCATATAGGGAAGGCGGCTCTGAGCACGTGCAGCTCCAAGCACCCTACAAGCCAGGTCCACAGCACAAACTGGACAGAAAACATGCCTGTGATGCTAAGTAAAATACAGAATAAGACCAAGCAAATGACTCCACAGGATAAAGTCTAAGGATGGCTGGCTGGCATTTAGCCGAGAACCAGTGGGACCCGTGGGTCTTGTTGATGACCTGGGAACCCTACAGTGGACTAGAGCTCAGCTTCTTCCTCCCCTACTGGCAGGGGTAAGTGCTAATGAGCTCATGTTAGTTTTGTGACTACAGTTTCCTTAAACCTAGCAGTGGCCTGTGTTGGTTTACCGACTTTCTGGATCCCTACTCAGTAGGGGTGGCAGTGTCACCCACTCTGCACCTCATGAGGAAGGGGGCCAGATTCTGGTTCTAGCCCCACTAGGCCAAACAGCACTCCACTGCTCATGTGACCTAGTATGTTCACACATACTAGGTCACATGTTCAGAGAGCCACAAGAGGCACCCCCTAGAAAACCAGCATTAAACGTAATGAAATGCCTGTTTCTGGATGAGCCCCGATGGCTTTGTGATGCTATCTCGCTTCAGAGAGCCACAAGGGCTTTCCCAGAAAAAGATGTTTAATTATATTAAATTTTTATGTAAATTAATGAAACAGTTTTTATATCCACTATCCCAAGTTTTTCAGATAATACCTGTTCTTCCTTACTTTTGCTGGGTGGGGGTGAACATGGCTTTTCTTCTCTGATTCCAATTTGGGCTGGAGGCTCAGTTGTACCTTAGCTCCATGTTATTGCTGCTGCTGCATTAGCTACTCTTTAGGCTTGGCCAACTTTGACAATGTAATTACCTAAGTGTGGTTACAGGATGAGAGCTACGCTCGTGGTGTCCCGTCTTCCCAGCACTCTTTGTCATATAACGCTTTGAAACTACTGACGGTCTTGGCCTCCACCACCTTCTCACTTAACTTGTTCCAACCGTCTACTACTCTATTTGCGAAGGTGAATTTTCTTATATTTCTTCGGCATCTGTGTTTAGCTAGTTTAAATCTATGACCTCTTGTTCTTGAAATTCCAGGTCTCAGGAAGTCTTCCCTGTCGATTTTATCAATTCCTGTAACTATTTTTGTATGTAGTGATCATATCACCTCTTTTTCTTCTGTCTTCTAGTTTTGGCATATTTAATGCTTCTAACCTCTCCTCGTAGCTCTTGCCCTTCAGTTCTGGGAGCCACTTAGTAGCATGTCTTTGCACCTTTTCCAGTTTGTTGATGTGCTTCTTAAGATATGGGCACCACACAACAGCTGCATATTCTAGCTTTGGCCTAACAAAAGTCATGAACAATTTCTTTAGTATATCGCCATCCATGTATTTAAATGCAATTCTGAAGTTAGAAAGCATAGCATAGGCTCCTTGCACAATATTCTTTATGTGGTCCTCAGGTGATAGTTTTCTATCTAGAATCACTCCTAGATCTCTTTCTTTATCAGAATTCTTTAAAGATTTCTCACATAATATATAGGTTGTGTGGGGTCTATGTTCTCCTATTCCACATTCCATAACATGACATTTATTAACATTAAATTCCATTTGCCAAGTGGTGCTCCATATACTTATTTTGTCCAGGTCTTCTTGAAGGGCATGACAGTCATCTAAATTTCTTATCCTTCCTATTATCTTAGCATCATCAGCAAACATGTTCATATAATTCTGTATACCAACTGGTAGATCATTTATGTACACAATAAACATCACTGGTGCAAGAACTGAACCCTGTGGTACTCCACTTGTGACATTTCTCCATTCTGATACATTGCCTCTGATTACTGCCCTCATTTTTCTATCAGTCAGAAAATTTTTCATCCATGATAGAAGCTTACCTGTCACCCCTCCAATATTTTCCAGTTTCCAGAACAACCTCTTATGTGGAACTCTGTCGAAAGCCTTTTTTAGGTCCAGATAGATGCAGTCAACCCAACCATCTCTTTCCTGTAATATCTCTGTGGCTCGATCATAGAAACTGAGTAAATTCGATACACAGGATCTTCCAGATCGAAAACCATACTGTCTGTCTGATATTATATCATTTCTCTCTAGGTGTTCTACCCATTTAGTTTTGATTAGTTTTTCCAATACTTTCACTATTACACTTGTCAATGATACAGGTCTATAATTGAGGGGGTCTTCCCTGCTGCCACTTTTGTAGATTGGAACTATGTTAGCCTGTTTCCACCCGTCTGCTACGATTCCTGTACACAGGGATGCCTGAAAGATCAGGTGAAGTGGAATGCTGAGCTCAGATGCACATTCTCTCAGAACCCATGGTGAAACGCCATCTGGGCCAGCTGCTTTGTTCTTACCGAGCTCCTTGAGCATTTTTTCCACTTCGTCTCTAGACACCTCTATGTGTTCTATGTTGTTCTCTGGAATTCTTATTGTATCTGGTTCCCTAAAGATTTCATTTTGTACAAACACACTTTGGAACTTTTCGTTTAGTGTTTCACACATTTCCTTTTCATCTTCCGTGAATCTATTTCCCATTTTCAACCTCTGAATATTATCCTTTACCTGCAATTTGTTGTTTATGAATTTATAGAATAGACCTGGTTCTGTTTTACATTTGTCCGCAATCCCTTTTTCAAAATTTCTTTCTGCCTCTCTCCTCACTGCCGTGTAGTTGTTTCTCGCATCTTTGTATCGCTGGTATGTTTGGGGGTTCGGCCTCTTCCTGTATTGATTCCATTTTTGTGTCTTTTGGTCTCTAGCCCTCTCGCAATTTCTATTGAACCAATCCTGTTTCCTAGTTCTGCATCTCTGTTTTGGTATAAATTTTTTTGTGCCTTTATCATATATTTCACAAAACTTGCCATACATCTCATTCACTTCCTTGCCTAGCATCAAGTCTGTCCAATTATACTCACTAAAAAAATTTCTAAGGTCACCATAATGTCCTCTCCTGAAGTCTGGTTTTTCAACTGCTTCAACCTCCTTATTTTCTTCCAGCTTATAACGCATTGCATACTTTATTCCCAAAAAGACATGGTCACTTTTACCCAAGGGAGGAAGGTACTGAATGTCAAATATCTCTTCCTCCTTCCTGGTAAATATCAAATCTAGCATGGAGGGAACGTCCCCTTCCCTCATCCTCGTAGCTTGTTTAACATGTTGATACAAGAATGTTTCCAGGATGAGGTCTACAAATTTACAGGTCCAAAAATCTTCTGTTTTAGCTTCATATGCTTCCCAGTCTATGGATTTCAAGTTGAAGTCACCGACTATCAACAGTCGTGATCTATCGTTATCCGCTCTCGATGTTGTGGCCTTTTGCTGCTGCTGTTTCATTTTTTTGTTTTTTGTTTTATGGAAGGCCCTCAGTATTTTCAGCAGGATAGTTCACAGAGCTCGAGATCCAGGGCTTTCACCATCTCAAGCTACCTTGGGAATTGCCTCTGGCATCACTACCTTTGCTCGTTAACAGGGGATTTTGTTTTAGTGTTATTGAGCTGTTTTGGCTTTGTCTGAGGGCTGTTTTCCTGGCTCTAGCTTTTGTACTGTCAAATTCTACTCTCAACTGGCTTACTGATATGATTTGGCATGAATGGTTTAAAAAGCATCAAGCTGTACTGGTGTGACAGATGCTAACCAGTGGCAAGCACAATTTGTCTTAAGACCCAACTTTGTCTACTGCTTAGAAAAGTGATTTTCATTAGCACTCAAAACTACATTTTAATTTTAATACCTGCCTGATGGGGTTCTGGGAGTTCTTCTACTCCCCAAGCCCGGCCCGAGGACAGGCTTGACTTGTGAGAGCTTGGTCCGCCAGGCTGTCGCTTTAAGCAGCAGGCCCACATGATACTTGAGGTTATCTTGAGATGATTTCGGGGCTTTTAGTGTCCCCGCGGCCCGGTCCTCGACCAGGCCTCCATCCCCAGGAAGCAGCCCGTGACAGTTGACTAACACCCAGGTACCTATTTTACTGTTAGGTAACAGGCATAGGGTGAAAGAAACTCTACCCATTGTTTCTCGCCGGCGCCTGGGATCGAACCCGGGACCACAGGATCACAAGTCTAGCATGCTGTCCGCTCGGCTTCACAATACATTATATTGACAGCAAATTTAAATCTTTATATTACAGTTCTCTACTTAAGAATTTTGTAATAAATTAATTACATTAATTCTGATTTTTAAAAATTTGGCAACTCAAGAGATGTTCATTTTTCTGTACATAAATTGCACATTAGGCAATATTATTTTTGTTTGAGTTTCCTAAAGTGATGCCATGCAAATTACAATCTTATTACTGCCCAATGACGAGTCTCTGATTTGAAGTATATAGCGAGAAACACCAGGATACATCCGATTTTTAGGGAAGTAGCAATAAAACACACTTTACTGAAAATGTTAAGAAGGCTTTTCTCATACTGTACCTGGAGAGGGTTTCGGGAGTTCTCCTACTCCCTGAGCCCGGCCCGGGGCCAGGCTCGACTTGTGAAAACTTGATCTAACAGGCTGTTGCTTGGAGCAGCCCGCAGATAAGTCATAGACTTACTGGTATGTTTTTTCCATTATGCTAACAAATAGGGAGTACTGTACTGTCACTGCATAATATTCTATATAGAACACCCTTAGCAAGTCAGGCTCATGTTACTGTAATGTAACCTTTTGGAGAAAGGGACAATGTCGCATATAGCACTTAGTTGCAACTACAAAACATAAATAATACATTAAATTTGTTGTATTTACCAATTATGTTTTAATGAATAAAAATACAACTTACTTTAAGAGACTTAAGCATACTGCCACCAGCAATTATCTGAGCCTGCAGCTTGAGTGGGTCGATGGTTGAAATGTGTTGATGTAATTCATTTCGAACTGTGAGACACTGTTCAATATTATGGGCTAGCTCAGGTTGATTCCATGATGACGGGGCGCCATTAGTCTCTTGTTGAAATACACGCCAGCCTGGAACAATGTGCAAGTTTAAAAACTTTTTTTTTTTTTATAAAATTATTGAATTACTGAATTTATTAAGAAAGTGACATTCATGTTTAGTTATATATTAATTGAAAATAAAGAAATTTTTTAATAATAATGAGGACAGCTAATATACATATATTGTCTGAAATAAGAATTTTTTTCCTCTAGCATTTTCCTGACACTTTCAATCTCACAGATACAAATGACTTAAGTTATTATTAATTTATTCATACCATATTGCATATGCAATACCAAATATTCAAACCATTGACATTATATACAAACTCCAAAACCAACACTGAGTGTAATGAAATGCTTCCCTGTGGCTATCTAGCTGAGAATGCCCTATACTGAATTTGTGGAAGTTCTGTTTGAACTACCATGAACCAGAGCTAGAACCTATTCCCCCTCCCCCCCCCCTTCATAGGGGTGAAGGCAGCAAGTGACAATCTGCCACTCTACCAGAAAAAGTTTCCTGAAAGTCAGCAAAGCTTAACAGACATCTGGACGGTTCACAGAAAACAAAGCTTCGAGACTACCAAACAACTCGGCAAATGATTCACATAGATTAGGGGACTACCGGGGCTCCTCCAGAAAAAGTCATTTCATTACATTCCATGCTGGGTTTCTAATGGGATCCTCTAGAGTTTTCAGGGAGCCACCAGGAACCCTTGGGTTTCCTGGTGGCTTCCTGAAGCTAACCACAGAGCAAAAACAGGACTAACCAGGAAAAAGAGGTGGCAGACACTAGGATGAAGAAGAGAACCCAGGCAAGGAGACAATCTAATACAACACAGGACTAACTGAGACCAAAGACATTGACTAAATACCAGGCAATTAGAACCCAGGTAGTACGGCAAAACCCTCGAGCTCAAATATCGGCCCAAGACTTGGAGAAGACTGCGGCCAAAGCCGCAAACTTGTAAAGAACTTGGGTCCGAGAGTATGATGGCTAGCCTCAATGACACTGTGGATGACCTGAGAAATGCAAGCTCTGGAACAGGAGACCAAGGAAACAGGGTCAACCAATAAGGCATTCACTGAGGCAGAACTGGTGGCCTGCAGGTAGTGGCGAAGTCGCCACCGGACACAACAAATGATGCACCCCGGACGAACCAATCAAGCAGCAATTACTAAAGGACCCCTCCAAAAGCCCATCGACTCATTTCTCACCAGGAAAGATGGAGAAGGCTGCAAAGGAACAGATCTATCCCCTGCATCTGGAGAAGAGCCCAAAGCTCCCCAACCCTACATCCAGAGGCAAGAGCTAACAAGAAAACAGCCAAAGAAACATATCACAAGCTGAGGGGAAAATAGTAATCCAAGGTGATGAGAGAAACAAAAAACCCAGTGAAGAAACCAGGATGGCTTAAGACGAGCATGAGCAACGCAGAGATGAGAAAATGCATGAAACAACTCGTGAAATGGCATTATGGGGGTTTCAACACCAAACACATGCAACAGGGGTTCCGCTAACATCAAATGATAAGAGGCAACAGTAATAAGCATCAGACGCTGACTGAGAAATAACCAATCGGACAAACCCGACCGAAACATAGATGACAAAGAGACAAGTACATAGTGGCAAAACAAGCACGAAGAGCTACTGAGTTGGCTATCCTAAAAACCAGCCATATCAATATCCAACTCTGAAACAAGAATGTGTTTGGATCCTAGATAGACAGATGGTCATGTTTTAAAGCAGAGTCCAAGGAAGGCCTTGATGACTCACATGCAGAGGAAGACAGGACCACAGCTACCCAAGGATGCATTAGCCAAAGCTGTACCCAACCAAAGGGAAAAGGCTGAGAAGCTGATCTGTGGTCACAGCAAGAGGCATAGATGAGCAACCCGTCCGCTTAAAAATAACGTTGCTTTTCGCTCGTATGTGCGCTATGGCCAAAAATGAACGTAATTTTAAATGAAATCGGCTCACAAAAGTGATGTACTTTCCTCTTTGAGTCCTCTGGCTTACTTGGAAAGTTTAGGAGAGGAAACTTTCAAATAACATTTTGAAACTGAAGGAGAATTTCCTGCCCACCTAACCTATCAAAGGATCCTTAACTAACTGTTTTGGAAAAAAAAATCCAAAATTTATTTTCAATTTTTTTTTATTTTGAAATTATGATCATTATCGACCATATGGGCAAACGGCCAAAAGCAGATTAATTTTTAAGAAGACAGGTTGAGATGAGAGCTCTGCAGAAATCACACTAGAGCAAACACCACCCCTCCTCAGAAGCTAAGGACTGCAATACCAGGATAGCAAGGAAAGGACACATAAGGTGACCACAGCCTGGAAATCACTAGTGCCAACAGCTGCTGCCACAAGGGCATATTTCTACACCTGCCACCACAAAGGTAAAGGCCTTTGTGGTACCTGTATTCCACTACTTGGGCAGCGGCCTACAGCGCTAAACAGTGGCAGTAAGAGGGCAGCCCTGCATCCAACAGGCAGAATGACAGCCATAATAGGAATAACTAACAGCACTCAAAAACACCAAATTACAACCTACTAAGTTGCAATCAGGCAGGCATGCCAGGTGCAAGACTAAGTGTCATCACATCACACACCTAACCCAGACCCACTTGCCTGGCAAGGAAAGGAAGAATCACTCACACAACTTGAGCACACACACCGGCCAAATTGCATTGCACAAAAATCAGGGCCAGGCACTATTTATACACAAGTAACAGTTGTTTACATCAAGTCCTTAGCAAGAAAAGAACAAGTCTCACACACTGCTTGGAGGTAGGATGACTCATTAGAGTCAATGGGCAGAGGAGCAGCCTTAACTTGTTAAGAACAGACATCTCTGGTGGGACAAGGGAAACATAAGCTGGCTACCAGGGAGGGTAATCCTGGCACACAGCCAGAGGGAAACAGCACACAGGGACCACACAAAATGGGTGGAATAAAAACACATTGATGGCTCCCTTGCAGAACTATTGTTCCAGGAATTGCCAATACAACTGTACCAGTTAGCTGAAAAAAAAATCTCCTGAGTCCCAGCAGAAGAGTGCAACCTCAATCTTGCACTCAACAGAACAGAATGAGTGCACCACCCACCAGGTGAGTAAGGTGGGTGGTGGCTGGGGCCCCCAGGTGATCTATTGTCATGTGGTGGCATTTGGGTGCATCAAGGTTAGGGTTGTTCACCTGTTGCAATGATGACATATCTTGTTTGCCTCAGGTTTTATTTATTTCTTGAAGTAATAACATATTTGTCTAACTTAAGTTTTCTGGTTGAGTTTTCATTAGTTTCAGGTAGCTCTCCAATTCCCAACCTTCCCTTGCCTTGTTGAGACCACCAAATTCTAGTCCTGGAACCTGGTAGATCAGTGTGGCATCTCAAGAGGCCTTGTGCAATTCTTAAGGCTTTGCTACACCAACACAAAAGCCACAGGAAGCAACTAGGGGTCTTTCAAGTGAAATTTTAGAAACCTCTGGAACCAAACCCTATTTTCCCATAAACATTAAGTTTGATTCTGGTATTCTTCTATGCCGATTTTTTTCTTTAAAGAATCTTACCCCTGAGCAAATCAAGGTTCTTCTGTTCTGTACTAGTTATAAGGTCTCTAGGAACATTTTTACGCATCATATGATGAATACCGATTGAATTTATGACATCCAATAGCATTACCGTACTTTGAAATATAGTTTTAGCCAAAACAGGTACACTGCAAGAATGACAAAGTACAGTTCAGTCACCTTTATTGTTGTGGTGGTGCAGAGCCACTTCCTCAGTCAAGTGCGGTAAGACAGGAGCAAGTGACAGCAAAAGATGATGCAGAATATGATGGAGCACCAACAACGCAGACATGCGTGTGTTCCCTAACTGTGGCTCACAATAAAGTCTGAAAAGGGACATCACATTACAATAAATTAAGTTTTTATTAAGCTTTCTACACAACTGGGTTATCATATTGTTTTTATGTACTAAAACAAATTTTCATGATATAATAACAAGGAAATGTTTGAGAAATGTTAAAGAAAATAATTAATAATTACATTTTTGATGTGGCATTCTTACGAAGAACAGCCAGGAAAAGTGAAAAATATTCATAATACTAAAAGGCCCAACAAATATTATTAGATTTGGGGTCAAAAGATGAAGCATATAAGGATACCAAAGACATTAATGTGCATTAACATGAATGACAATGAAATGAAATACATTTATTGATGTATAAATACAAACAAAGGGGATGAGGTAGCTCAAGCCATTCTCGCCCCAATGCAATGGAGCTGTTCTGCATGAGATGTATTCTTGTGGATGCCAATGACATTAATGTACATTAACATGAATGACAATGGAGGTGTACTGCATAAGATGTATGTCTCATCCATGTATACACATCCACTGACCAGTCTTCATGTACCTGGTTGCCTTAAGTACTAAATCCACACATTAAAGGAGAGAAATATGGCAATTGGAAACAACTAGGTCAGGTGTAGCATGGTTAGGAGTGGTGTGGTTAGTTATGGTATGGCTCAGAAACAAATGTTTACACACACATTTTGACAACATTCTTAAACATAGAAACTCATCATTTGCCCACTTGATTTCAGGAGAGGACAACATGGGGAACTTAGCAAGTTATTTAATGAACGTGATTGGAAAGACTTGTGGTTAGGCAAAGAAATGAGATGCATGCCAAATTTTGTGAGATACATGATGAAGGTGCAACCAGATTTATACCAAGACAGAGGTGCATAACTAGGAAAGCAGGACTGGTTCAACAAACTGTGAGAGGGCCAGAGAACAGAAGACAAAAATTTGTATCAATATTTGAAGAGATCAAACCCTCAAATGTACCAGCACTACAAGCAAGCAAGAAACAACTACACGGCAGTGAGAAGAGAAGCATAAAGAAACTTTAGGGAAGTGATTGCAGATAGGTGTACAACTGAACCAGGCCTCTTATATAAAGTACTAAAACATATTTTCACATATGTTTTAGTACTTTATATAAGTACTAAAAACATAAAAGAAAACATAAAAGAAATTCACATGTAAATGACAAAATTCAGAGGTTGAAAATGGGGAAGAAATTTACAGAGAAGGAAAAGGAAATGTGTGAAACACAAAACAAACAGTTCCAAAGTACTGTATGTTTGTGAAAAATTTGTTTTTCATAGAACCCGACACAATACAAATTTCATAGAATACCACAAGAGTACATAGAGTTGACTCAAGATGAAGTGGAAAAAATGCCCAAGGAGCTAGGTAGAAACAAAGCAGATGGAATTTTACCTTGGGTTCTTAAGAGAATGTGCATCTGACCTCGGCACTACACTTCAATTGATTTTTCAGTCATCTTTGTGTACAGGAGTCTTGGCAGATACAGTAAATGAAAAAAGCCAAACATAGTTCCAGTCTACAAAAATGGTAGCATAGAAAACACTCTTAATTACAGACCTGTACTGTTGACAAGTGTTGTAGTCAACCATTCAAGTATTGAATGTAATGAAACTTCCTTTTATGGTGGGCCTCCTGAGCTTAGCTTTGATACCACCAATAAGCCTTAGACCCATAAACCAGGCCTCCAGATCTGTCTCACTTTATGAGGCGATAAGAGCAAGAGGAGTCAGAGATCAACCACAGAACTAGGAAACTCCACCCAAATGAGGAGGGACACAAGCAGCAGGAAATCAGGCTGTGCCTGAAAATACTGAGCTCCAACTTGAAAAGTTGCTATAATAAAAAAGAGAAATAGTGGAGGTATTGGTAGACCTAAAGGAACTGGAGAAGGGGTTAGAAAGAGAGGAACAGAGATGCTTTGAAATTGACCCTGACAAAGATGCATATGGAAGGAGAAGAAAGCAAATAAAATGCTTTCAGGTTGGGCCAGTACAAGAAGATAAATTGGCTGGGAAAGATATTCACAAATGATATAATACTTAAAACATCTACAATATTACAAAGTATTTCTCAAAAGAGAGAGAGAGAGATAAAAAAAAAAAGGAAGGAAGGATAAGTGGGGAATTCAAATACATCATCCCATCGGCTCAATACCCACAGAGACAGCCACAACAGTAGCATAAATCATCTTTCTCAGCCTCGCCCACTTCTTGCCCTCACTCCATACCTATTTCCTAAACCCATGCACATCTCCCATCTTCCCCAATATGTGTTACACTTCTTATATCATAAAGCATAAGCAGCCCAAGGAGTATACTTGCACAGTACAGTACCTGTCTTTTATAACCGAGATATAGAATCCTGATATGTTTGTAGTGATGAAGGCAATTGATTCTAAAGTAACTCGGTGGTAGAGGAATTTCTCATAGTGCTCCCACACCTGGAATAAGATAAGTTATCATCAAGCTTAAAGAACAGTGCCAATACAGTGAAACAACAAGAGAGAGATAAATGTCCCCAGTTTATCTTAGTGAATGGAAAACAAAACAAAGAGTAATAAAAGCTGGATTACCTAACAGGCACAATATGAATGTGCCTAAGCATCAAGTCTAATATGCATAACAGTGTTTGGGTAAATAAATATATTTTACTTTATGGATACAAAAATCTGATGTCTCAAAAATTTGAAATGCTAATTTATATTGTTTATTTTCATTTTCTTTTAACCTTGGAATGTGGGGCTTGTACAGTACGTGTACAGTATATTAACATTTTTATGGATTTGACTCCTAATGTTTCCTATTGTGCTTCATGAAGTGCAGGTTCCATGCCCGAGCTGCATCCTCCAATAATGCTTTCGAATTGTGTATGTGGCCTGAAAGCCTCACTGTTCATAGTTGTAAATGCTGTTCTTATGTTAGCTAACTTCCTTTATGTCACTGACATTATCCATTTTTTGTTTCAATTCAATGGCAGTGTTGGGATTATATCCACTCACAAGATTTTCTATTTGACTGTTTCTCGGTTACTTTCCACTTAGTTGTAGTTTCCAACAGGTCTACCTTTACCCTAATAACCTTACAATTTTTTTTATTGATTTCTAATAACCATTTATCTATCCAATCTCACTTGGTTTGGGTCATCAACACATACACACACTGACATATACACTTTCACTCTCTCTGGTAGTTCGTTTACATAAATTAACCCTTAACATGTGGGTTAGGATTTAAATGTATATCTGCCTATGTGCAAAAGAAAAACAAAAATGAATAAAATATTTTTCCTTATAGAATGATTAGTTTGGATGCAAAATGTAAGGAAAAGTGGAAATAAACTGAATATTTACATTGTAACCAGTCTCGACCATTGAATAAGTTGAATGTGTGGCCGTCCCAGCCCCATCTGTCAGCACCAGAGTGCGCTGTCACCAACATGCACACAATGTTGACCTTCCATGTCTAGACCATTGTACGTATTAATGTATGTACTGTATTAATGAATCAATCAACCAATGTATTTATGAACACAGTGATAAATATGTATGTATTAATGAATGAATATATTAATGTATTTATGTATGTATCATGTATGAATGAATGTATTAACAAGAACAAAGGAAACTGTAAAAACAACTTGTCCTCTGGGAGGAGATCCACTCGAGGAAATGAACTGGGACCAACTACACGAATAGTGCTATTATCTACTCCTCTCTATCCAAGGTTACAGGTTCCAAAGATCCAGGTTTACAGAGCCTGTGTCCTGAGCACTCTCCTTTATGGCAGTGAGTCTTGGACACTCCGCGCTCGTCAGGAATGACAGCTGAAAGCCTACCACATGCTCTGCCTCCGATACATCTTGGACATCACCTGGCAGGACAAGATGACAAACAACAGCGTCCTGAGGAGAGCTAGAATCACCACCATGTACACAATGCTGAAGCAGAGACGAATGCACTGGCTCGGGCACGTGGTGCGAATGGGCGACGGCAGGATCTCCAAGGATCTCCTGTATGGAGAGCTGATGCAGGGAAAGTGCCCAACAGGCAAACCCTAGCTATGGTACAAAGACATATGCAAAAGGGACCTGAAAGCCATGGACGTCGATCTTGCTACGTGGGAAACACTGGCTGCAGACTGTTCAGTCTGGGGGCAGTCTGTTCAAAGAGGTTTCTCCAAGTTCAAGGAGCCACTTGCCAAATCAGAGGCAAAGAGACTGGGAAAGATAGCCGGTAGCCAGGAAGACAGACCAGAATCGGACTTCGTTTGTGTTCTTTGTGGGATGGACTGCCATTCTCGGATTGGCCTCATCAGTCACACCAGACGCTGCACCAGGATTGACAACCAGAGCGCAACTCCAGCCTCCCGAGACTGAAGGATGCCTACTATTACTATCCAAGGTTAGGTTTGGTTAGGTTTGATTAAGGTTTGCAAGGCTTGGTTAAGGTTGGATTAGGTTTCGTTACGTTAATATGGTGTATTATTGACGATAATGTGAAATATGGAATTCAAAAACTATTTCCGTGTGTCTGAGAATTCCGTTTACAGAAAACCTAATTCTTCAACGAAAATGTTTTCAGCATACACTTTTTATATTTTAAATCAATGATTTATAATACAATAATATTATAACTTCAGAATGCTGAAAACTCTGTTTACAACTAAGATTAATTTGCCAGTCTACATGTAGACTATTACTGAAGCTATAATATTTTTTCAGATCATCAGAAATATCTAGATAACTATTCCAGGTAGTAATGAATTTGCTATCACAAAAGGCTTATTGGCCCATATGAGCTCCTATTTATATTGTGGACATAAATAGCAGCTGCCTTGTATGGGCCAATAGTCCCATACTTGAGTTTAAGAGGATATATGGGCCAATAGGCCCATATATGAGTTTGGGAGGATATCAACAGGAGGGAATGATCAGGAGAAAGTACCAAGCCATTACAACTATATAGCACTTTGAAGGAGTCAGGATAGCTATTTGGGATGGGATGGCAGGAAGGGGGGGAAAAGGAATGGTGCCCAACAACTTAGAGAGTTGGAAATTGAATACTGTACATGAAGCGAGACCTGCATGAAGCGAGACCATCACTCTACCGTCCACCCCAAGTGGTTGGGCAATATAAATAGAAGCTGTTGTCTATTTATATCTTCCCAAACTCGTATATGGGTTTATCAGCCCATACAAGTTGCCTCCTATTTATATCCATGTTATATATAGGAGCTGCCTTGTATGACTCAAAAAAGATCTTCTGTAGTTCCTTTATTATACAATGGGGCCTCGACTTACGATGCTAATCCGTTCCCAGAGACGGATCGTAAGTCGAAATACAGAGCACCACTTGGTTTCCGAACTTTAGTTATCCGAAACTTCCAGTTTCCCGATTGGGGTTGGGGAGTCATGCTACCCGAAGGGAAGGGGAAGGGGTCCGCCAAGCGTCACGCCGGCTTGTTGTGGTGGGTGGGAGATGGTCCAGTTTGCCCACTGTGACTTCAGATTCACGGCCTATTATTCCTGTTATTTTGAATTGCCATAAGGCTGGAATGTTCAGTCTGTGCTTTTGTTTTACATATCTGCACAATCAAGAAACATCTGTGCACCATGTCGGCTCCAAATCCACGCATTGCGTCAGTGATGGCTGACCAGTGGATGGATGGATGAGGGAGCTTAGGTGGGAGGCAGTATGAGAGAGGGGGAAATAATTAGTCAGAAAGGGAGTGGGAGGGAGAGAGAGATGCTAGGAGGGAGTGGGAGGGAGAGAGAGATGCTAGGAGGGAGTGGGAGGGAGAGAGAGATGCTAGGAGGGAGTGGGAGGGAGAGAGAGATGCTAGGAGGGAGGGAGAGATGCTAAGAGGGAGGGGGAGGTAGGGAGAGATGCTAGGAGGTAGGCAGGAAGGGACGGAAGTAGTGAGAATTAGGGAGGGAAAGGCAGGCAGGCAGGCACAGGCAGGCAGGCAGGCTAGCTTGCAGGCAGGCTGGCAGGCAGGGAGTGAGTGGTAGTCACGCGGTTCAACCGCGTGACCTTTAAAAGAGAGTATGGGATGTAGGGGGGCGGGTGGTGGGGGCGAGACCGGCTCATTCCCGAAGATAAGCCTAACACACACTACCCGTTAGCATGATGGCAGGCAGGCAGGCTTGCAGGCTGGGAAGGAGGCAGGCAGGCTTGCAGGCTGGGAAGGAGGCAGGCAGGCAGGCTTGCAGGCTGGGAAGGAGGCAGGCAGGCAGGCAGGCAGGCAGGCTGGGAAGGAGGCAGGCAGGCAGGAAGCGATATATGGGTGTTGAAGTGAACCATGAACCACGTGACCTTTGAGAGTGTGTGTGTATGGGTTTGGGGTGGGGGGAGAGGGGGAGGTGTGTCGGTGGTGGGGGAGGGACCGGCTGACTCCGTAAGCCTAACCACACTCCACAGACCTGTGACCCAGATTTGTTTCTTAAATGTACAGTACATCATCGTATATTTTAGGCAGGATGTGCCTGCAGGCTGGCAGGCAGGCTGGCAGGATGTGCTGGCAGGCAGGCTGGCAGGATGTGCCTGCAGGCTGGCAGGATGTTCCTGCAGGCTGGCAGGATGTTCCTGCAGGCTGGCAGGATGTGCAAGCAGGCTGGCAGGATGTGCAAGCAGGCTGGCAGGCAGGCTGGCAGGATGTTCCTGCTTGCAGGCAGGCTGGCAGGATGTTCCTGCAGGCTGGCAGGATGTTCCTGCAGGCTGGCAGGATGTGCCTGCAGGCTGGCAGGATGTGCCTGCAGGCTGGCAGGATGTGCCTGCAGGCTGGCAGGATGTGCCTGCAGGCTGGCAGGATGTGCCTGCAGGCTGGCAGGATGTGCCTGCAGGCTGGCAGGCAAGCGGGCAGGCAGGCTGGCAGGATGTTCCTGCAGGATGTGCAAGCAGGCTGGCAGGCAGGCTGGCAGGATGTTCCTGCAGGCTGGCAGGATGTTCCTGCAGGCTGGCAGGATGTTCCTGCAGGCTGGCAGGATGTTCCTGCAGGCTGGCAGGATGTTCCTGCAGGCTGGCAGGATGTGCCTGCAGGCTGGCAGGATGTTCCTGCAGGCTGGCAGGATGTTCCTGCAGGCTGGCAGGATGTTCCTGCAGGCTGGCAGGATGTTCCTGCAGGCTGGCAGGAAACATCTAGAGGATGTTTGCCAGTCGTCTTAATAATCAGTTAGGAACAATTAAGGACTTTTATAAAGCGGATCAGGACTTCACTTATTGGTGAGTACAAACAAAACACGGTCGCATTTACGCTATGAACCTGTCGATTTTTTTCCCTAGAGTTTTTTCGTAAATTTTTCAGAACAATTTCTTTTTACATTTCTAGTTTATTTTTTCCCCTCTATTTCTCGTACACGAACTTACATGTTAACCGACGGGTCTCGTCCCCAAGGGGTTCGGAAACCAAGTGGTGCTCTGTATCGTAAGTCGAAGCGATTTTTCCCATAAGAAATAAAGGGATTTGAATTAATCCGTTCCCCACCCTCCAAAATATTAACATACAAATACATTTTATACTGAATACAATGTTTTTTTCTAACTACAATACAGTACCAAAGTTTCACTTACCTTTATGGAGGGCTCTTGATGGCGTATGGAAGATGGTGATGAGGGGGGATGAGGAGAGTTGTTACTGTTTGGAAGGGAAGTCCCCTTCCATTATCACATCAGAGTGATGTTTTCTCTGGGGTACTCTCTCTCCTACGTTTTGCCTGAATACCACTAGCACCTGGTTGTGGTTCAGTGCTTGTTTGTCTCACTACAAATTTGTCAAGAGACATTTGTTTTTCCCTTCTTTTTAATGTTAGTTGGTAATGATGCATCACAGTGTCATTGAATAGGTTAAGGCAACAACATACTGCAGCTTGATTTGGGTGAGTCGTTTCAGCAAAGGTTTGCAATTCTTCCCATGCTGCACACATTTTCTTAACTGTTGAGGACGAGACATTCTGTACTCTTGTTTCTGCTCTATGGTCATCCTTACATGGGTTTTCATATGTTTATCCTTATCACTGACTTTCCTGGCACTCATGGCGTGATATATAATAATTACTTTAATGTTCAAAATGCAAAAAATCACCACAAACGCGAAATTTCTTATAGGCACGATCGTCACTAAGTAGGCAGCTGTAGTAAACTGAGGCAGGTCAGCCACGTGACCGGGAACCATGCGCTCGGTCGACCCGAACGTGTATCAACAAATATCGGAAGTCGACGACACCATCGGATGTCGAGTCGCATTTTTTATGAAATTTACATCGTAACTCGAAATTATCGTAAGTAGGGGCAATTGTATGTCGAGGTGCCACTGTATTTAAATAATGATTGGTTAACTTGGTATACTTCATTGCAACCACAAAGAGTTGTAAAAACCTTATGAAAAAATGAACATAATTTGTATACATATCATGTAATTATAATTAAATTTTATACCATGACAATTACTGCATTGGCATAGTAACATTTGTGATGATACCATTTTTCCATGTATCACGGCAAACTTCACTACATTTATATAGAGCTATTATATCCATATTAGCATCATTGGTATAAAACCCAGACAATAATAGTTTAAATCAATGTATGACGGTAACTGCATTACCCTGTGAATCAACACATGATGATAAATGCACTTGAAGGGTTAATGTATGTGTCCTGCACATACACCACCACTCCCAATCAGCTTGGTAAGACCTGTGGGCAAAACTCCAATCAAAGTCCGAAGCAGAAGCTGCAGGAGAGGCAAGCTGAAACTTGATGCAAGTGTCCAAGACCAGATGCTCAGAAATCTCCTCATGAAACAACGAGGATTGATAGCATCATCATTCAAGAAAGGTAAAGGATGCTGCAACTTATATCAGATAGCCAGTCACACAGCCCAATAAGAATCACAAAGGCAATGAAGAGAAGTGGCAAACTGCCCGTGGAGAGAAACGGCACACTGCCCGAGGAGAGAAGTGGCACACTGCCCGAGGAGAGAAGTGGCACACGGCCCGAGGAGAGAAGAGGCACACTGCCCGTGGAGACAAGTGGCACACTGCCCGTGGAGACAAGTGGCACACTGCCCGACGAGAGAAGTGGCACACTGCCCGAGGAGAGAAGTGGCACACTGCCCGAGGGGAGAAGTGGCACACTGCCCGAGGGGAGAAGTGGCACACTGCCCGAGGGGAGAAGTGGCACACTGCCCGAGGGGAGAAGTGGCACACTGCCCGAGGGGAGAAGTGGCACACTGCCCGAGGAGAGAAGAGGCACACTGCCCGTGGAGAGAAGTGGCACACTGCCCGAGGAGAGAAGTGGCACACTGCCCGTGGAGACAAGTGGCACACTGCCCGTGGAGACAAGTGGCACACTGCCCGAGGACAGAAGTGGCACACTGCCCGAGGACAGAAGTGGCACACTGCCCGAGGACAGAAGTGGCACACTGCCCGAGGACAGAAGTGGCACACTGCCCGAGGACAGAAGTGGCACACTGCCCGAGGACAGAAGTGGCACACTGCCCGAGGACAGAAGTGGCACACTGCCCGAGGACAGAAGTGGCACACTGCCCGAGGACAGAAGTGGCACACTGCCCGAGGACAGAAGTGGCACACTGCCCGAGGACAGAAGTGGCACACTGCCCGAGGACAGAAGTGGCACACTGCCCGAGGACAGAAGTGGCACACTGCCCGAGGACAAAAGAGGCACACTGCCCGAGGACAGAAGTGGCACACTGCCCGAGGACAGAAGTGGCACACTGCCCGAGGACAGAAGTGGCACACTGCCCGAGGACAGAAGTGGCACACTGCCCGAGGACAGAAGAGGCACACTGCCCGAGGACAGAAGTGGCACACTGCCCAAGGACAGAAGTGGCACACTGCCCGAGGACAGAAGTGGCACACTGCCCGAGGACAGAAGTGGCACACTGCCCGAGGACAGAAGTGGCACACTGCCCGAGGACAGAAGTGGCACACTGCCCGAGGACAGAAGTGGCACACTGCCCGAGGACAGAAGAGGCACACTGCCCGAGGACAGAAGTGGCACACTGCCTAAGAGAAGATGACACCACCACCCTAGAAGAGATGCAAGAAAGACATATGGTCATTAACCATTAAGACGTAGAATGGTACAGGGGGAAAAGGGTAGACGCTTACACCAAGAAAAACACACATGATCATAGGCATATTATTAAAAAAAACTGCCGATATGTGTATACTGTACCTTATTCTCCAATCTATATCTAGGGCATACCTACCTAAATTTTGTATGCATTAATTGTTCAAAGAAGTCTTCTTTCTCTGAAGGAATGGATGCATGTCAAATTGCCTTCAAACATTTTAGACATTGCCACTTCAAAACACATACCTAAAAGACTGCAGGAAAGCTGAAAACATTTGATGAATTTATAAACAAACGAGATATTTTTATATACTAACTTTTTCAATATGCCCAAACAGTAAGTGCAGCATATACTGGTCCAGAGGCTTAAGATCCAATACAGGAAGGCTGTGCTCACTTGGATCATAATCTCTCAATGTTGCTAGAAGATATCTCAGTATTGCACGCACTTTTTGCACATTATCCTTGCTCTGCTCTAGGATTCGTTTTCCAATGGTCATATTGGTATGGTTAGTTGAATGTCCTGCAACCCACCATCTTGAAGGGAAAACAAAAACAAATTAGAACATCAATGAAAATCAAGCACTGATTTCAATGATATGTAATGAAATGCACATTCTAGTGGGTCCCTATAAGATCTGTGAGCTCTGGTACCACCAAGCAAACCACACCAGGTCTCTCAGATCAATCCTTCACCTACCAGAAGCTTGGACGTGAATCTGACTCACTATAAGAGGCAAAGTGAAGTTTAGGGATCAGAGATCAATTCTGAGAAAAATCCACCACATGGTACATGCGCATTGCAACAATAGAATGCTGGAATAGATTAGGCACTCATAAGTAAACATGGTGAATGATTATTGCCACAAGGAAAGTACTCTAACAGTGATGTACTCAACCATCACCAGATGGCTGCACAGATCATCTGGCACCTTAGCCAGCCTGCCTCCCTCCCTCTGGAGCCATCTGTGCAAAACTCCAGCATGTACACACTGAAGGAAACAGTAAGAATGGGGAGCCATTGAGGGCCCACTAAAATTGACATTACATTACTTTTGATATTTGATTTCTGGGAGGAACCTTTCGGTAGCTTCCAGAGCTTACTCACAATAGAACCTTGATAGAGGTAGCCAGCTTTTCGGGAAAACAGAAAAGGTGGACAGACTTGCTGGAAGACGAAAAGCAAGAGTGGAGGGTCTGAGGCAAAGAATGCCAGCCATGTAGCAAATGCTCAAGGACACACAAGCCTGCAACTTCAGGAACAAGACGCGATAAATTCTAGCTAAGAAAGTAAAGATGCCACAAAAATTACAAAAGTTCTCTTGCAAACAGAGCTATAAATGGTGGAACAATTTAAATGATGTGGTGGTGGATGCCAAAACCATCAGTAGTCTCAAAGAATTACACGACAGATTATAGGAATTATGAGATACCACGAGCATAGCCCATATTCTTGAACTACACTTAGGTAAGTTACACAAGCATGGCAAGATTGAAGAAGATCCAAGGAATGAGAGGATAACATCAAAAGGACCTCCAGAAACCTGAACCTGAATATTAACCATTAACAACCAGAAAACAGAAGTCGCCAAACCAGCAAACATCTGCACATATTCAGATTGATAACATACAACTGGCTGGCTGGATCAAACAGCCACATAGGGGACCTGGAAAAGGCAGGCTCTGAAACAAGGAATGTGAGAAATAAGGGTGACAAAGAGAGACTAAACTCCCAACAATACGAGGAGTGTGCAAAAATGCCACACCTCAGAGGACAGTGCTCATAATGGACCCAGCCAGAGATCAAAATCACGATAGCCAGAAAAAGAGATGTCACATTCCCCAACCCTTAACCCCTTAACTGCGTTGCCTCCAAATGTGACACCCCCACAGTGCGCAGGAAATAAATTCTCTGGAAAAAATTCTTTTTTCTTTTTAAAGTGTCAAAAACCCTTCCCTCAGTATGGGTATGTAAAAAAAAAATCGAAATTGTACTTACTTTGGCTGCTATGGGGTCCGGAAGTTGGGGCGTGACGTCATCATTCCCCGTGCGCCCGTGCCGTAAGCTCTCGGGGGCGGTGGGGCGCTCGGGGCGGGGTGCGCGAGTTGCCGCGAATATATTTTCGTTCATTTTTTGCGCACCTTTCCAAATACATTTTCATTGTTTTTATGTGCCAATCCAATGTATAATGAACACGTACACTATAATATCGCAGTACAACATCCGTACTGTCCGTAGGCACTGTGTTACGTTCATGAAACTTGTGCGCACATATGCAGCACATATTTACTATGTATCATGCTAATTTGTGTATATATACAATCTATTTACACACTATACACTGTCACACACTATATACATTCACCATCAACACATTCAGAACACCGCGTAGCAGCTGCTTCATATGGGCCAATAGCAGCTGCCTCGTATGGGCCAATATCAGCTGCCTCGTATGGGCCAACAGCAGCTGCCCCGTATGGGCCAACAGCAGCTGCCTCGTATGGGCCAATAGCAGCTGCCTCGTATAGGCCAATAGCAGCTGCCTCGTATGGGCCAATAGCAGCTGCCTCGTATGGGCAAATAGCAGCTGCCTCGTATGGGCCAATAGCAGCTGCCTCGTATGGGCCAATAGCAGCTGCCTCGTATGGGCCAATAGGAGCATTTGACCATGAACACATTCAGAACACCTCGAGTGAGAGCAGCCTCACCCAGCCAGTCTCACTCACTCCAACATCTTACTCGCCAACATTGTTCCTCCCACCATATTATTATAGTTCTTATTACACATGTTCTATATACCTATCTACATGTTTTATTTACCAGAACTATGGAAGTAAGCCGGTATTGTGTCCAAACAGTACAGTGGCCACCATACACTGCATGAAAAATCACAAAGCAGACGACGCTACGATTACGTCACCTCCCTCACCGAAATAGCTCCTCTCAACATTCTCCTGTTGCTGTTCTTACACTATATACACACACTATATATACCCATGTACATATGTGTTGCCCATAGCGAACCACTAAGCTAGTATGGTGAGCAAAACAAGAGTGGCAGCCACACACACACAATGAGGCTACCTCAATTATCGCCCTCCCTCATCAAAATTCCTCCTTCCACAATACTACGCACAACGCTAATTATAACCACAATCCTGCTATTATCACAATCCTGGTCACTAATTCCTGTAAATGAATAATTGACCACACGTTTATTTTGAAAAGGAACCTAAGAAATCATTTGAAGATTCCTAGATGAACGAAATAATGCTGTGGTGCTGTGGCTAGCGCTGTGAACATCGTGAACAGCATTGAATCACTGATATTTGAACATTGTACCCAGTCATTATCACACTCAGGCTCTAATATAACACTATCATAACTAAATAATACAAGTTATATATATATTTTGGCATTATTAGGCGATGCTGTGGTCACATGCTGAACAGCAGTGCTGTGCGCTCATGCTGCGAGCGCCAGCCTTGGTTGCTCACACACTACTGAGGCTCCCACACCCGGGAATGTGGACCACGATTTTTTTTAAAGATGGCGTCTGTTTACAAGAGCCCTGAGGAAGCTGATGTGAACCCCATGTAGCCGCGGGAGTTTTGAATGGAACGTGAAAAATACAAATACCCGGAGGCGCGTTGCGCAAACCAGACGTGAGCCTGCAGGCGCGTTGCGCAGTTTAAGGGTTAAACATCAGTGTGAGAGGTTGTGATCTTTAACTATACTGTATTCTCAGACCACTTACCTTAACACATCAGCTCCATAAACAGGGTCTTTCTGAAGGTTCTTTCCTCCATCTGTGACAATATCTGGATCAACAACATTCCCTAAAGACTTGCTCATTTTGTTTCCAGCCTCATCCAGTGCAAAACCATGTACATACAATGATCTGAAAAAATACAAAAGTTGTACCAAAACCTCAAGAACATTAACAGACTGCACATAGAGAGCAAAAATTGTGAAACGAATTGGAGAAGAATTAGGGGATGAAGTGTCAACGACTTGTTCATTAGACAGAGGTCACAAAATTGATTCATAAATGTTCTTTGTAAACCTGTTCTGAAGTAAGCATTTTAATTTACTTATTATGCACCCCCCTTATCCATCCCATGAGCATTGGTGGAAAGGGTTACAGAGCATTTTAGATAAGTAATTAATTATCAAAAGAAGGCACCAAACCAGGAAGGCTATGTAGCACCATCAAATGTGCGGAATAATCAGAGGGCACTAAATATCACCAAGGGAGCATTTTAGATAACTGAAATTAGTTACACTGACAAATTGAAAAACTGGTTTATATAAAAATTTCAAGAGCAATATGATTATCAGTGTATCTTAGCTACTACACCAGTACAGAAGACTCTCAGAGGTGAAATAACTGAGTGCCAATGGGGTTGTGTTACCTCCACCTTTTTTTGTTACAAATTATTAAGTGCCATTCATTGTATTTTTCCCTATTCTGTTGAACTGATGAGTCTAGTGAAAACTTCATAATTTATATAGCTTAATCAGGAATTTCATGATTTTAAAGGGCTTTCACGAACTTTCATTTTAATCAGCATGTATCTATATGGTGCTCATGCCAGTCCTTCGTGTTACTTTCTGACCTCCTCCTCATCATGTTATCTCAAGACAATGGGTGCTACTGATAAGAAATATTTGCATCTCATAAATAAATGTGAACTGATTGTATTTTTCTGGAATATATTTGAAGAGCAATGAATGACAATCAACCAAATTGCCTCCAGGATGAGCAGGATGAGGTAATAAACTATAAGAGCACAAAGAAATCACATTAACACGATGTATCAGTGTGAAAATCAATAGGAGCCGTGAGGAGGAGTCGAACCTATGCATTGGGTTACTCCCAAGAACACTCCTTTGCCGACTAAGGAGCAAGCACAACTAGGCGAGTACTACACCACAACATGGTAAAAGCAATGCATCCTGGGATCCAACTGAATCCTCTTTTCTTAACTATAAGCAAATATGCTGCAGGAGCTACTCAAACCACAAAAGTCAAGGTTTGAGAGGGCCCAGGTCCTCAAGGGCCTCTCATAACACCTAGAACACAGGTTAAGAGTAAAGTTAGTAATTATTAACACTTTAGTCCGGGCATGACACAGCATTGCGTCATCCACTAAAATAATTGCCAAAAATCAGGTTTTTATCCAATTTTTTGGGGACTGTTTGGTAACTGTCAACAAGCCGAATGCAATCTGTGACTACAATACAAACATGAAAGGTGTTGATCACTTTGACCAAATGATCAAATATTATTCCTTCATAAGGAAAACTCACAAATGGATGAAGAAAATGACCATCTATTTTGTGCAAATGGCTATCTACAATGCTTATGTGATGTACAACTACTACACAAAAAATACTAAACTATAATACTACATATACTAAAATACTAAATACTAAACATTTGTGGGCAGGAATTGGGAGTGTAGCTGGAAGGCGTCTGGGCGCTCACTCGCGGTTAACGCGTGGCCCGTCTTCAACTCGTCAGCGGGTGGAGCGTGACCAGGTTTTTTATTTTATATGCTAATGTTCCTCTAGAGAATTCTATTGCGAACCCATTGATACCAAAATGAAAGACCTAGGACGAAAATTGAGGTGACCAGAGTGAAAAGAGTGAACACATTTTATCGCTTTTGCGCGCTCCTGGGTAACTCGTTCGCACTTTCTCTGTTTGCTGCGGGTAATTAGCCGGGCTTTTGGAGTTTATATGCATTTAGTGCTGTAGAGAATTCTATTGCGAACACAATGATACCAAATTTAATCTCGTAGGACGAGAATTAAGGTGACAAAATTGAAGAGAGTATACACTTTTCAGAATTAACGTGCGCTCCCGTGAAACGCTGGGACCCAAATCGCACAGTTGAGGGGTGGCGCGCGGGGCACGCCAAAGTGTTAATTGCTGGATAGCATATGGTTAGCTCCACCCCAATTTCAGTTACACCAGGCCCTTAAAAGTCACCAAAAACTGGGATCAGAAGTCCAAACCTGGCCCTCCTCTATAGATGTGCAGGGAGCTGAAGGCACTAGATTGCTTAGATTGAGAAAAGGCCGGCAGAAAGGTAGAGAGAAACAAAGTTAGGTCATTCACCTCCTAGATGCAGATGCCCACCACTAGGTGGCAGCACCATGAGCATCTGGCTCAGCTGGGCAACTCTCCAGTCATGAGCCAGGCCAAGGCCAAGGCCAAGCCCAAGCCCAAGGCACCGGGAAGGGTAAAGGAAGGTCAAGGAGGCCATTAAGGCATTTCATTATGTTCAATTCTGGTTTTCTGTGAAGGTTCCTTCGGTGGCTCTCTATTTCTATCTCAACACAGAGAACAAAACAAACATGGGAACTCACCAGGAGCAGGGAACAAAACACATATGGGAACTCACCAGGAGCAGAGAACAAAACCCAATAACCCCCATAGTAGAGGGACTCAGTGAAAGGTAAATACTGAACAACACACACACACAAGCTTAGCATGGTCCCAAAACATTGACAAAGTAACTTGTCATCAGAACCCGTTAGAACACTAGAACCCACACCCCCAAGTCCAAGTATCAACCAAAGGCAAATTTCCAATCTAAATGGACAAAGCTGCAAATTTAAGGACATCGGGAGCCTGAGGATAGGACAAACAGAACTCCTTTATTAATGTACTAAACTTCAATTTTATGTAGAAAGATAATTAAATAATTAATTAATTATTACCCTGGACATACACCAGGGTGGACTTGCATCCTGTGCCAGACGCTGGAGACAGAAAGGCGTCAAACCACAGGGAAGGATCTGCACCAGGATTATTCCTGAGAAACAGTGGGCAGTGGATCCTCAGTGGTGGTGGAAGAGGAGAAGAAGTTGGGTCCCAGAGAAGGCGCAACTTCGCCTAAAGGAGAATCCTGTGCTGCACTAACGATCACCCAATGTTTACCAGGTTCTGAAAGTAAAAACCAATCAGGAACACTAAACACAGGGTCTGGTTGCCGAGGATAAACACCGAACACAGCCTAGGGGCAAAGATGACTGCGAAGGGCATAAGAACTGCATCGTGAAACGTGGAAGCAAACCACTGTGTTACACTTGAAGACACAAGAACGTTGACCACCCCTAACCTCAGAGCCTTGCAGAGGAGTCAAACATTCTGACACTACTCAAAGCAAGGTACCCTCCACAGGAGGCCGGGCTCTCAGGAACGGACACCTGAACCCACCAGGAAGGACAACCCTACCAGGGTAAGGGCAACACCAGCAAGCACCTAAGAAAGTAAGCCCTTAATGTATGCAGCTCAAGGTGAACAGTTTTTCAAAGTCCACATAACAAGTGAGGCATAAATAGGTAAACACATGCTTGTGAAGTTAATACTATAGGAAGGAATAAATACATAAGTTAATGGGCCTCTGTAGGACAGTCCAGAGGATGGCCTTCACTTACCTAAAAAACTGGGACCTAAAAGGCACGAGGCAACTTGAGGAGCATGAACGTCAACACATCCACACCCGATGAATGATTGGGGAACTGCACCGGTTGAGCTGATAGCTCATGGTGCTGCCACCTGGTGCTGGGCAGCTGCTACTAGAGAATGAATGCCCTAACTACTGGGTAAATCATATTCTAAGCTATTTAAATTCACCTTGTTATCAGTTTGATTTCGCTTAATCGTTCTGGTGGCCATTTCTAGGTCTGAGTTATCTACGTAGTATCCTCAGCTAGTATTATCCTCAGTATTATCTCTATACAGGGGAAAGGGGGAACAGGTTTTAGCCTCTGGTTCCAGGTAAGCTTTTAGTGCCTCACAAGGGCCTGGTGTGACTCACTGGGTAGAGCTAACTAGGCTCCCCTTCCCCCCACCAAAAAATCTTAACCTATTCTTATCAGACCTTTGATCAACAATACCTGTCAGTTCATCTAATAACCTGGGGCCGGATTCAGGAAGGTACTTACGAAGGTTTTTCTTCTTAGCTACGAATGTTTTCCTTCTTAGCGCCTTCGTGGTGGCTACGGCGGTATTCAAGTAGCTACACCAAGTGAAAAACCTTCGTAAGTTCATTCCGGGATCTAAGTGCTGAGCCCTGGGGTGCAGTAGTGTACGTACCTAAATGTGATTGCATGGTTGAGCAATCCTGTCCTATAGATGCTTAGTTGTAGTTAGCCTGTAATGTTTGTTCTAAGCCAATCAGCCAGCCAGACACTCAATCAATTGGTCAGCCAGTAAACCAATCAATTGGCCAACCAGTAATCCAATCAATCAGCCAGCCATCCAGTAAATTAGCCAGCCAGCTAATCAATCAGCCAGCCAGCCAATCAATCAGCTAACCAACCAGCCAGCCAGCAAACTATCCAACCTGCCATTCAGCCAAGCAGCCATTAAACCATGCATGGAACCAGTCATCCAGCAAGGCATGGAATCAATTGATCCTGGGTTTGCAGGAGATGGGTCACAATAACGTGGCTAAATTATGTTGACCAGACCACACACTAGAAGGTGAAGGGACGACGACGTTTCGGTCCGTCCTGGACCATTCTCAAGTCGATTGAGAATGATCCAGGACGGACCGAAACATTGTCGTCCCTTCACCTTCTAGTGTGTGGTCTGGTCAACGATCCTGGGTTTGCTTCTCAGACAGGTGGGAGATTTGGGTATGGCTTCTTACAAATGATGCCTTTGTTCATCTAGCAATAAATAGGTACTTGGGAGTTAATAAACTGTTTTGGGTTGCATCCTGGGAGTCCAGTCATTGGCTAGGGCGACCCTCATTAGCCTAGCAGTCTTCATGCTCCTGACAATGGGAAACTAAATCTGATTTCCTCAGAATCCTAGCCATTTGAAAGTAAACAACAGGTAACAAAATCTGACAGCAGTTAACACTGTGCTTGTTAGTGGTGGGATAAATCTGAGATTCTTTGATACTTTTGCAAAAACAGCCAAACTTCTATTTTATCACAATCTCCTCAGTATAAACAAAAGTTGCACAAACTAACTTGTAAGGTGCTTTCCCACTGACTGCAACAGAAGTGAGAAGGGATGACTGAAACCAGCCATTGAACTGATCCACACCTTCAAGGTATAAATCAGCTGAAGCACTTCCCAGGACACTATGCCATGATGCTCCTGAGTCAAACCATATATCCAAGATGTCCGTACCCTGAAGGCAAGAGAATTTTGTCATGAAACTTAAGCTACTTATACATTCACTTATACTACTTATCTCAATAGAGGCCAGGGGGAGACTAGGAATACTTTATCTCCCAAGACCAGGACCAAGAGGAAAAACCACCATATGAAACACCCCAAAACAGACTACTGCATAGAGAAACATTACCAATGCTGTCCTCTTAGGAACTTTTCCTCTTGGTCCCGGGAGATCAAGTATCCCATCATCTTGGCCTTTATTGACTGGACCAGTCAGGTCCTCGTCTACGATAAGCTTGACGATTCATAAGGGACTTGTGTGGCAACCAGGAAGCCACCAAAAGGCCCACCAGAATGAGATGTTTCATTACATTTAATACAGGATATTTATTTTTTTGAGCTTTTGTAAGGGCATATATCTGCACAGTATGCCTTCTTCACTGCCCTTTCCCACATTGTCATTGCCCAGGATGCCGATATGGGATTGGATTCACGAGAACTTTATAGATTTATTCTTTGTTGCTGGTTGGAAGATTTTTAATTTTTTTTTTGTATGATTAAGTGAGGAATGTTATTCAATTGCCTTCATTACACTGGAAATTATGTGCTACTTTAAAAGATTGAAGAATTTTCATTAGTTAGGCCGTATAAACTGAAGCAGTGTTGACTGTTTGGCAGAGTATATACACTGTAGAGTACTATACACTGCAGTAGCAGTGCATAGCTATACTGTACATTCATTCTTTAATTTGCCTTGAAACTATCCATATATAAAAAAAAAAAAATCTGAGCCAAAGTGAGAAATGTAATGTTCATTAGGAATTGAGCATAGAGTGTAATGAAACACCAATTTCTGTGCAGCACGACACTTCATGAAGATGACGGCACTAACACCAGAGCACTAGTGTGTCCCTCAAAGAGGTGAGAGGAATGGTTAGGCATCACAGACTGACCCATAACCAAAGTGAACCACTCAAAGTCAGAGACATCGCAAAACAAACTACTGCTCTACCAGAAATAAATGACATACATAAACAATTAACTGATAGTTTTAACAGGCAAACCCTGCAGCAACAACTCCTCTGGCAACCACCAGATAGCAGCCAAGATCACAAGTCTGGAACCCAGGGTGCCAGTCACTCTGTCCACCTTCTTATCAGTGATTACAGAGCAGTGAGATCTACCTCTTTATGCCCTGCCTCCTACCCTTTTCTGTGAAGGCCCTATCACTACCTCCGTGTGGCACTGGGGCTGCCAAGCCTGTGGAAATCACACCAAACCTCCGATATCCACTAAAGCCTACCTGAAGCCAGGACCAAAACCTAAACTTTTATGAGGAGTGAGGGGTAGTTGGGAATCTATGATCAGCCAAAAATTTGAGAAGAAACCCACCAGAAAGTAACTCTTAAAAAGCTACGAAGTAAACGTTGCCATGACAAGCAACGGGGGCGTGACAGCTGAGCGGACAGTGCTCGGGATTCGTAGTCCTAAGGTTCCGGGTTTAATCCCCGGCAAAGGAGGAAACATATGGGCAGTTTCTTTCACCCTAATGAAATCATCTCGAGATAACCTCAAGATAGATGATACACCAGTCTGCCACCAGATGGCTGCCCAGACCACCTGTGGTCCTTGTCAATCATCCACCTCATTCAAGGGGCCACTTGAACAGAACAAGCCCCAATGCCCACAAGTCAGTCGGGAAAGAGGGTGAATACACGACGCCTCGTAGTGGTCCACCAGTTGTTGCAACTACAATAATTATTTAGATAAACATCGCAAAATCCTTGCCCAGGCTGAAGGCATCAGGAAGCAGAGCTCAAAGGTAGGAGAGAGACTTTCCAGAGACCAAAATTTGAAAGCCACCATCCAGACTTGGACCAAGGAACACATTTCCATAGACACAGACGAGCATAATCAGAAGACTCTCCAGCACCCAGCGTGCATATATTTCTATGAATATAGTGTATATGTATATCTCTATAAATATAATTTATGAAAAGATTGGCACACGTTTTCCTAGCACACAACATACATACTTTCTTGGGTAGCTGTTTACCCTGCTGCTTCAGCTCCTTCACATATTCAGGTGGAAGTAGTTGCTCTTCTGGAAGTCTCCACCAACTATCACAGCCATCTTTAAGCAACACTTGTGCTACGTGTTCAACAATACTTCTGAAATAACAATCATACTATTAATATATGAAAAAACTTTGCACAAAAAAACCTGAAGTTCATCTTGAGTTTACTAAATATAATGCAAATTGCCTTTGATGTCATGTATTAAGGAAGTGTATGCAAAGGACTGTCATATACCTAAAATATGATTGAATATTTAATGATTCAAATTAATTGTTTAGAGGAGTGGAGTGATTACATAATTTGTTTCATTATTTTCCTCTTTTATTTCACTTTTATGTTTGTTTAACATCTCTTTTTTGACAACATTTCCATCTAACAGTCTGTCACTTCCCTCTCAGGATATGTTGGTCAAATACTGGACATTTCTGGCCTGGTATTATCAATTGAGAGCCCCTCTGTGCCAGATACATCATGTTCTTCCGTTTATGTACATTATGAATTCACCAAATCAAGCATTGAATGTATTGAAATACCTTTTGCTGGTAGTCATTCTTCAGCTTCCTGAGCTGAAGTGCTGGCACTGTGAAACCTTTTGAAATGCACCAGGCCTTTTAGATTCATTCGTGCCTACAGGGGGCCAGTAACTTAATCTGACTTTACAAAGGGAGAAAAGCTTAGGGATCGGAGATCAAGGAAAAAATCAAGGAAAAACTCACAAAAAAGACATACTTGGCAGGCACAACAAAACAAGTGACTATTAGTAACTCTGAGGTAAACAGGCTCATTGGGGTTCCAACTAGTCTGCTAGTTGGGACCCACCACCCACCGGAACATTCTTCCAACACCCGCTAGAAAGAAGGGAAGAGGGTAAGAATAGGTAAAAAAAATGAGAGCTTATCAGAAAATGACATTTCTTTACATTCAGTGCTTGATTTCTGCATGGGATTGCTCAGTAGCTCCAAGCCGACTCATAACAACATCTTCGCAGAGGGAACAGACTTCACTAAATAGAAAAGGTGGAATACTGAACAGAAAAGACTAATACTGTATATGGAAGAAGGCAGCACAAAGCCAGGGCTTATAGTATACAATTAGTTTTGTCAAGAGAAGCTATCAATATACCTTGACCTCATGTTTCTCACTCCAGTTGAGGTTAGCGAAGTGTCTGTTTACATACCAATGCAGTATCAAGGAAGGCCTACCTTTTAAAGAACAGTACAGCACCATACTTCAGTACCCAAAAATCAATCTAAGCATGTTTGAAACATTCATAATTATTTCTTCAAGGCTTTGTATCATTATGGCACAGATATATAATTCAAGGATTTAGATTCAGAAAATATCAATCGTATGCTGAAGACCTGTGGCTCTATTTGGTCAGTGTTTGTCCATTGTGTGGTGTTTTAGTACAGGCAAATCATAGTTTAATATTAATACTTTTGTATTCTTTAACTTTCTTTTTCATTTATTTGTGCCTCTCTATTCTCCTACTTCTTTCAGACTACTTCCTCACCTGTATTTGCTTCCAAAGGCACTCTTCACTCTTTGCATACTTTTTTTTTTAATATACCGATAAGCAGCTGGCAACTGCTTCACTTGTGATGGCCAATATATAAAACTCTAAGAAATGCTTCAAGTCCTCCAATTCAATGTCTAACATTTGAAGGCAGCTAAAATGCTGGAGGTAGACTGTACCTGAAGTAAAAGCTTCAAGTATGAGTATCTCCCCAAACAAACAAGGTATCATTTAAGGCACCCTTAAGTCTTAGCACCTAGTAAACCACACACTTAACCCAATATTCTCCTGCAACTATGACTTCTTAAGTTTAAAGTATGTAGGTTTCACCATTAACATATTAACATACACTGAACACATATCCCCATTCATATTATTTTTATGGTATAATGGTGTATCATTATCATAACCATCGTGTGTTTTCCACTATCACGTGATGAGGAGGCTCACTAAAAATGATGGGCAAATATTGTAGGAAAATGGTGACCAAAAACATTTAATGACACCCCCTAACATTTCATAAATCATTCTACACTCATAACAAGAAAATAGTACTACCATACTCTACAGAATATATATCTATAAATGTACCTCAAATGCTTCTTAACCCTTTAACTGCGCGGCCTATAAATATGACACCCCCCAGTGCGTAGGAAATAAATTCTCTTGAAAAAATGCTTTTGTCTTTTTGAAGTGTCAAAAACCCTTCCCTCAGTATGTGTATGTCAAAAAAAAATTCAAACTTGTACATACTTTGGCTGCTATGGGGTCCGTAAGTTGGCGCGTGACGTCATCATTTCCCGTTCACTTGTGACGTACGTATGCATTAACTTGTACTCATACTATATCTGCTCGTTTTTTCTCCTCCTCTCTTCTTGTTATCTCTCAATTAACTCAAATGTACTTTCTTCATAACTTAGTCATCTACTTTATGTCAACATGACAAGTTCATCACATTATTCTATCCTCAATCTTTTGAGTTAAGAGTTCTGTACTCAACACCTTTCATATCATTCCATATTTTATCTGAATACATACTTATAAAGATAATAGTACAACACCTTGTCACAACTGGAAGAGATGTTACTGCATCATAGAAGACAGGAATGGGAACACCCCATACTCGTTGACGAGAGATACACCAATATGGTCGTTTCTCCAGTAGCCCAGTCATCCCTGCCTGGTTATTGCTAGGTAGGATTGAGACTTCTTCAAGAGCTGCCTATGAGATAATTTTCAAATTAACAAATATCATTATCTATATGAACAAGTGATATACTATATGCCACAAATATATAGTATATAAAAACACACATTTTTCTAGTTACCTCAAATTCTCCAAGTGCAACTCTTGAAATAGGTGAAGCTATTTAATTTATAGATAATGAACAGCATATTACTCTTGGTTTAGTGTTGGGTTTAAGACCCACCAACCTAAGGAAGATTATTAAGACCATGACACCAGTAGACTGTGTTTAAAACTGACATCAAAATAACAGACTAAATAAACAAGAAAATTCACTATATCTTACCAAAGCTTTCTCTTTCAAATTCTCGGTGTTAATGAACCACTGCTTTGATGCTCTAATAATTACAGCCTTCTTAGTTCTCCAGTCATATGGGTAAGAATGAATGAAGTTCTCATTTGACAACAGAAGTGATGGACCTCCAGGCCCATCCGGCTCCACTGTTCAAAATAAAAGTGAGAAACATGAATTTGCATTAACATGAAAACATACATACAGCTCACATCCTGCAGAAAGAGTAGATAAAGGAAAAACAAGTAAAAAGAAATAAAGAGAAGTGAACAAATCAAAGATTAATTGTAATTAAATGCCTTTTCTGGTAAGAGCCAGGAGAACCCTGAGCTTAGTTTGGCAACTACAAATGCTTCCGAGATTCATACTTTACCTACCAAAAGCCAGGAACAGAATCTGGCTCACTCTGAATGAGGGAGCTCAAGGAACAGATATTAACCCTAAACCAAGAGAAAACCCAATAAAAAGCATAGATGGAACAAAACGAGTGACAAATGAAGACAATTAGGCACTGCTAAGAAACGAGGCAAACTATCATGGTCACTGTAAATACCCTACCTATTATGTACCAAACTGCCACCAAAAAGCAGCTCAAAACAGCCAGTCTGCCACCACACCTGGAGCTGCCCCCTCCCCCCTTACCCAACCGCTTAGGCTGGACAGTAGAGCGACAGTCTTGCTTCATGCAGATCAGCGTTCAATCCCCAACCGTCCAAGTGGTTGGGCACCATTCCTTTCCCCCGTCCCATCCCAAATCCTTATCCTGACCCCTTCCAAGTGCTATATAGTCGTAATGGCTTGGCGCTTTCCTCCTGATAGTTCCCTTCCCTTCCACATAATGTATGTATGCTCCCTACCCCCAACTCACAAACCCCAGACCCATTGTCGGCAGGTCAGCGACATGGTGGGGAAGGGTAACCACTGGCAGTTGTCAGAACTTTGTTTTAGTGGTTCAGCACTTTCCAAAATACATCTTTCCTTGTTTTCATAAGTGTTTTTATAAGCCTTGGTAATTGGTTGATCTTTGATCTCCATATGCTCCCTGCCCTGTAGAGAAGGAAGAGAATTTGCATGGGGTTCCTGTCCTTGGTTGATAAGTCTCTCTCACCTGGTTAGTCAAACCCATAAGGTCAACAGAAACGCAAATGAAAAATACCGAGAGTCTGTCCTAAAATAAGAGAAAATGTAGAAGAGAGTGAAAAGAAAATCATGGGAAATCACAGTGAAATTGGTCAGTGATAAAGTGAATTTCATAATGGGGGGGGAATCAAAAGCTTGGAGTATTTATGTGCAAAGAAGCTCATGGTTTAACAGATAATGGTTACTTAAGTGAGTGGTTTGAGATTATTAAAATTTTCTAATAATTCAATGTGTTGGGGGAAAGAAAGCCAGAGTGTATTAATACCCATTAGGCTTATATCGAGGTTCCTGCTTCTTCCCAAGGTCAAATTATTGACCTCGCCCAGGATGCAACCCCACAACAAGCCGATTAACTCCTCGAGTACCGACTTACTGCTAGGTAAACAGAGGCATTAGGTGAAAGTAAATGTGCCCAACCATTTCTGTCCTGCCCAGGATTCAAGCCCAAAATTCTCGATTGTGCGTCAAGATCGAACCCGACTGTACTACCGAGACCCTTATTATAGGTATGTTAGGGTACGTACAACCTACTATTAGGGGTTGTATGTTACCCTACCTTGAGGTTACCTTGCATTGGTTACAAGGATCAATGTCCCCATGGCGCAGTCTCTAATCAGGCCTGCCTGGATGGTGGTCTGGTCAACTGGACGGACTGCGGATGCGGCTGCTCGCAGCACCGACATATGAATCACACCCTGGTTGATCTGGAATACTTTTGGAGGCATTCATCAAGTTCTCTTTTGAACATCATGAGAGGTGGGCCAGTTATGCCCCTTGTGTTTAGAGGGAGAGTGTTGAAAAGTCTTGGGCCTTTGATATTGATAGATTTCTCTGTGTGCCTATTGCACCTCTGGTTTTCAACAAGGATATTTTGCACTTCCTGCCAATATGTGGATGAGAAACAGTACTGGGGCAAGCACAGTATCCTGGGAGACTGAGCTTTTCATGATGGATGATCCAGATTTTACTTTGTTGACTATTACACTCTGGGTTCTATTCGTTACGAAATTAAGATTCATCTTCCCACTTTACCATAATTCCTTTTGTGTACAATTAGCGCACAAAAATATCATGGTCACACTTGGTGAAATCTTTCAAGAAATCTGTGTATATTACATTAGCATTTTGCTTGTCCTCATTGGCAGTTAAGGCTATGTCATGTCAACCAAGTATCAGGGGGGGGGGGGACCAACCAAAGTATCAGGGGGACCAGCCTAAGTATCAGGGGAGCCAACCAAAGCATCTGGGGACCAGCCAAAGTATTTGGGGACCAGCCAAAGTATTTGGGGATCAGCCAAAGTATCAAGGAGACCAACCAAAATATCAAGGGGAGGGGGGGGGCCAAGCAAAATATCAGGTGGGGGACCAAGCAAAGTATCAGGGGACCAGCCAAAGTATCAAGGGACCAGCCAAAGTATCAGGGGACCAGCCAAAATATCAGGGGGACCAACCAGCAATAACTTCGGTTAACCACCTCATAACTTATGACAATGAATGCTCTGCCTGTGTGTATTTTCTCTACATTGCAATTTAACTGGTGGAAAAGTGTGAAAGTTATGATTATTTTCCTTTTACAGGTAACCATATGCATAAACTTCCATTTTTTATTTACAATGAAAATTAAATGAGGAACATTTAAATGTTCACAAAACATTTGTATATTCAGCACCTACGTGCACAATCTATTAAAAAATACACATTTTGTTTGCATCTATACTGTAGACTAAGCATGGCCCCAAGAGGCCTCAAATGTTTACACTCTGGCACTCAGCAAGGTCGAGGGGCCAAATTCGCAAAGCAGTTATGCAAGCACTTACGAACCTGTACATCTTTTCTGAATCTTTGGCGACTTTGTTTACAATTATTAAACAGTTAATCAGCTCCGAAGCACCAGGAGGCTGTTTATAACAATAACAACAGTTGATTGGCAAGTTTTCATGCTTGTAAACTGATTAATAAATGTAACCAAAGCCGTTAAAGTTTGAGGAAAGATGTACACGTTCGTAAGTACTTGTGTAACTGCTTCGTGAATCTGGCTCCAGAACGCTAAGTGGCAATGCAAAAGTGGCGTACAAGACAGTGTACTGACAAACAAATATACGGTAGTTATTTAGATAAACTTATTCATGTTTATGGAATAACACATGTATGTATAAATGAACTTAATTTTCTTAAATATTTCCTTTACTTTTAAATCTTGTATAGCTTATATATAATTGAGTGTGCAACTCTATTATGGTTAATTCAATTAAAAAATTGTGAGTTAGGTTGAAGAGTATTGATAAATCAATGATTTAAATTGAAATATTCAACACAACTTATTCCAGACTGCATTAATACTCACATAACAACTGAATAACAGCTTCATTTCCATCCTCTAAAACTCTTTTTCCCTCTAACTGTGGGTATACTCCAGCCTGATAGCAGCCCCTGTCATCAATAATACACTCCTGAAATATAGGTAACATATTACCAAGAAATTCAAAACTTTACTCAAGGTACACAAAGGCCACAAAATAGGCCACACACAACATACTAATTATGTGGAAAAAGGCTTTAAAGAACTCTGATATAGAAAAATCTAGAGGAGGTAGTCCTAGACAGAAAACTGTCACCTGAGGACCACATTAAAAACATTGTGTGAGGAGCCTATACTATGCTTTCCAACTTCAGTATTTCTTTTAAATATTGTATATGGTTGGCCAAATATAAAAAAAAAAATTCAAGCTCCTTTGTGAGACCAAAGCTGAAATATGCAGCAATTGTATGGTTCCCATATCTTATGAAGCTCGTCAACAAACTGAATAAGGTACAAAGACATGTAACTAAATGACTTCTGGAACTGAAAGACAAGAGCTACAAGGAGAAGTTAGAGGTATTAAACATGCCAATGACAAAAGTTGGAAGAAAAAAAAGAGGCAATATGATTACTATGTACAAAATAGTAACAGGAATTGACAAAATTGATAAAGAAGAATTCTTGAGACCTGGCACTTTAAGAACAAGAGGTAATAGATTTAAGCTAATTAAACAAAGCTGCTGAAAAGATATTAGAAAATTCACTTTCACAAACGGAGTAGTAGACAGTTGGAGCTGATGTGGAAGGGGCAAACCATGAGAGAGTACAGCCCAAAGAAACACCAACCCCAGACCCTAACTGCAGAACAGTGGAGCCCAGAGCATAGGGAATAAAAGGCCTGAAACACTAGAAGGGCCAAGAGGGAGGAAGAAAGGATGGGAGTAAACGGAGAACATGTGGAAACCACCAATCATCTCAACTCTACACCACTAAACACACAAGAGTTGACTTGAACATCCACATCAATTTCAGGCCGCAACAACACCCACAGAAATGCAGATACATAAAGCAGCAAATGCCCAATATGCTCCTGCCCCGGGATCATTAGCACCAAAAACCTGCACCGATAGAAATGGGATGCCAAAATGAGTACAAATGCACAAAAACACACCACTTAAGAACTTAAGAGAAAACTACACGCAATCTTTGTTTGAAGAGTCGGGCAGGGCAGGAAGGCTCGGGAAGGAGTGGAGTGAGCAGATAAATACAGAACACATTCTTCCCCCAAGACAAGAGACCTCATCATCCCGGACCGGAGCCTAATCATGACAATGACTCTGCGACAATGAACATCGAAGACCACAGGATCAAAGGGATCTATATCAGTCCACACTAGAAGCTTACCAGGACCCAAAGGCAAAAACCAGACACATAAATTGCTTGCCGAGAACCTAAACTCAATGCAGCTTGGGAACATGCACTACCCAGGGCAAGGCACCCTCCCACAGGAGGCCAGCTTCTCAGGAACAGACATTCTATTCCATTAGGTAAAGTAACCTTGTCAGGGCAGGGCAAAAACCAGTGAGAACCTAGGAAAGGTTAAACATAAATGCACTCAACTCCAGGTGAACAGGAGCAAATACACATACATGAAGCAAATACATAAAAATGGAACAATACATAAGCAAAAAAGGCCCCCCACAAGACAATGTCCAAAGTATGGCCTTCACTTACCTGAAAACAGGGACTCGATAAGCAAGATACATTCTGAATAGTAGCAGTGCCAGCACCAGGATAATGACAGCCCACGCAGTTATGAAGAGGCCTGTAGTACAGCCGAGGTGTAGCCACCTAGTGATGTTAGCTGTACTTTTTTATTTTACCATAAAAGATTATCATCTGCATCAAGAACCAGTTAACAAACAATTACTAATTCTCTTGCACTTACTACTGGAAGTTTCTGTTGCAGAGCAACAACAAAATCATCATGGCCATGTGCAGGTGCAGTATGAACAAGTCCCGTTCCTTTAGTCATCGTAACATGGCTACCCGGGACACATGGACACAGTCGCTCGGTAAGAGGATGGCGATACTTTAAAGAAGACATCTCTGAACCTTTTATAAAAGAGTTGTCTATAATTAGTGGCCTTGTAAATAATAATAATACATAAACTAACAAAGATATGCAAAGTATATTTATTATTATTAATGTAACAAAGCAACAGTAATCTAAATAGTTTGCATAAAGGCTTTGTCTATGTACTATATTCATTTCAAAATGTTAGAATTGTAATTCAAAATTGAAGCATTTCAATAGAGACAACTACACACGTCTCAAACACAGTTTTCTTGGATTAACAAATTTCTTGGCAACAATATGTCCTAATAAATTTGTTGGTTACAGTTGTACGGACAAGACATAAGAGAACCTTGAAGCACAGTTTCCCTTGCATGCCACCCAAGGTGTCACAAGCATGCACACAGCCCGGCATTAATATTTACGGTGAAGCACTCGTGTGTTCATTACAACTGTACTTCTCAATTTACCCAAGAGATTTCAAAATATCTTTGCACTTCAGAATACATGCGATACACAATGGGGTTTCATTCAAAAGAAAATCGGTCAACCAGGATTTTGGGTGCAATGAGAAAATTCTGTTCTAGCTATCAGACTGATGCGATCAACTGCAATGGAAAATAATAGAAGCCACCAGAGAAGCAAGTCTACATGTTCCAATATACAGTATTGGAATGTGATGCTGACATATATAACAAAATCAAGCACTGAATGAAATGAAACTAAGTTCTGGTTCAGCTGAGCCTTAGGTTTCACCAGGCCTCTGAGACCCACCATTGCCTACTGGGAGCCAGGGCCACGATCACTCTTTCTACGAGGAAAAAGTAACTTGGGGGATCAGAGATGAACTCTAAATCAAGGAAAATTTAACCAGAAAGCATAAATGCAATAAAACAAGCAAGTGCAAGAAGAAAACTAGGTTCCTAGAGGCAATAACATAAGCAATCATTGCCACACTAACTGTTATGCACCTAATCACCACCAGATGGCAGCCCAGGTCATCCGAGGTACCAACCAGCCTGTCCTTCATGTCCTTCATTTGGTCAAAGTCCCCAAAATCAAACTTCTCCACCCCCACAGAAAAAACGAAGCACAGGGAGCTACTGATGGCCCACTGTAAATCCATCATTAAATGTAATGAAATGCCTAATTCTGCTGTGTCCCTTGGTGGTTTCCTGAGCTACTCACTTTGAACCTTCTAAATTTTGGGTACCACACGAGGCTCTAACAAATCGCGAGTGCCTACCGAACACCAGATCGACAATCTAGCCTGCTTAATCAAAGCAGGAATAGGGAAGTTTTGAGATACAAGATCACCAGAGCATCAGCAGAAAGACTACCAGAAAGAAAGATTGCACCAAAGCAAGCAACTGCTTGTACAACATTTGCAACCCTGATGCAAACTATGTACATTCCCATTGTCTAGATGTAACCACTGGTTAGCATTACTGTACTTCCTTGCCACCAGATGGCAGCCCCAGCAACCCAAGTGTCCTAGCCAGCCACCCCAGTCATTCACATACCACCCCAGGTAATAATCCCTCATTGCCATGAAAAGGAGAGTACTGTAATATGGAATCAAAGAGCCAACAAGAGATACAGAGGCATTTTATTACATTCAATGCTGTACAATATCTCTGGGGGGAATTCCCTCAAAGGCTCTCCAAGCTAACACACAAAAGAGAACAGAAAAAAACTTACAGTGGCAAGAAGGAAATGCCAGTAACCCTAGAGGGAATCAGCACCAAGAAATAATTACCAGTTGGATGGTTGGAACAAGTTAGGTGAGAAGGTGGTAGAAACTAAAACAGGCAGTAATTTTACAGCAATATATGACAAAGAGTGCTGGGAAGATGGGACACCATGAACGTAGCTCTGATCCTGTAACTACACTTAGGTAATTACAAGGTACCAAGTTGCCAAAACATGATTAGAATGGTAAAACCATGAGCTCAAACATTCCCCCAGAGCATACTGGAAGTGAACAGTGCTGTGAACCCACAGATACTGTACCATGTGCCCATGGATAGACAATAGGTAGCATCACCCTGTTAACACAGGTCACGTCGGGAAAGGACAAAGAACAAGCAGCCGAACCAGAAGAAAGAAATACAGATCGATAGCCTCACTTCATGTAGGTTCAATCCCCAACTGTCCAAGTGGTTGGGCACCATTCCTTTTCCCCATACCATCCCAAATCCTTATGCCTTTCAAGTGCAAATAGTCATAATAGCTTGGCACTTTCTCCTGATAATTCCTTTCCTTTCCAGTCCAGGCAATCCAAGACCTGGGGCAACATGGATTGTAAGCCTACAAACCACACAGACATGAAGAGTGCCACCTATGAAGGAGCAAACAGCTTGCAAATTTGATGAAAGGAATAACACTTTCTCTGCCTCTGAATATTTGACAATGCCATTTGCAAAGGGGATAAATCAACCAGAGCCTAGCATGTGTACTGTACCCTAGGTGGATCATAAAGTTCTGGCATGAGAAGCAACCAACAAACACTAACTCAAAAATATTTATACAGGATTTGTTCACTAGAGAAAGAGCTACCAAAACTATCATGGGTATTAGCAATAATTATGGAGTTTAATTGTTATTCTAGCTTTTTCTTTTTCATATTATCTTTGTTCAATGCTCCCTCCATTCTGCTCCATAATACTTTACCCATTAATAATGTACTTCATAGCAGATCATCGAGTTAATTACGAAGTCTAGAGCTAGTTTCATTATTAATTCTTATTGTTAAAGCCTAAAAACCACTACAAACTTTTCTAATATATATTATTTAGTTCCACATTACATTTCAGAAGTGCACATGTACACTAATATACATGCCATGATAAAGGCCTAATGTAAACCCTACAAGAACAAGTGCTAGGGTTAATAAATACAGTATTAAGCTTTTTGCTATAAGATAAGACAAGATATTTATTCAGGTAATGATACATACATTGAAAATGAGTTCCAAACATAATGTGGGATTAATAGAGCTAGTATATACAATGCCTGAAGCCACTAATACACACAGCATTTCGGACAAATACATTTCGGGGTTTTTGGGTTATGGTTATACTCAACTTACATATCAGAAACAACTATTGTCTACAGACCTTTAAAAGAACAGAGTGGAACAATATCTTCACCAACAGCTTTCTTAAGTTCGTGTAGCAACTCTTCCGCCCAAATGAGAGCCACTAACTGCTTCTTCCATCTGGCTAGTGCTAACGTATATACTTTATCTGGAGCGTAGCAAATGGCCTCATTTGAGGGAAGTGTCCAGGGAGTTGTGGTCCATATTGCCACATAAACATTTGGATTGTTATATTCTGTTAGCTTGTCCTGCGAACAATAATAAAATATTTTTGCATGAATTCTGTTCAGCCTTTCGAATACTGTACTTTCAAAACAAGTATTTTAAATGTTATTTCAATACAGCTACAAAATGCACTTTTGAGATACATATACTGTACATGTACTCAGGTTTATTGGTTAGTGGTTTACAAGATTAACTTTACTGATAGGTTACCTGAAGAGTAGTGGCTAGTATTTTTGACTTACAACTTCAAGTTTCAACCCATTACAACCGAGTTCAATTCCCAAGCAGGGTGTGACGTTTGGGCATGCAATAAATACCCCAGATCTAGGCGACTGTTACAGGTTCTGTAACAACCTGTGACTTGGTTCTCTGAGTCTTTGGACTAGGAGAACCTTCCTATCCTCAACAATGGGTACACAAAGAGAACTATCAACATCAAAAGCCCAAGACTTTTCAACACTCCCTCTACACATAAGGGGCATAACATTGCCGCAGGAACGTTGATCCTCAGAACCCATGCTAGGTAATTGGATCCAAATGCATACTGTACTGTAATTTAAAGACAAAAGTTAAGAGTTAAGTCACCATTTATTGTTTGCTCTGAAAACAAACTATTATCTAAAGTGTACCATCAAACTACATTAACAGAAACTTTTTAGAAACCCTCCAATTACACTGTACTGGATATTAGCTTTACAAGTGCAAATATGAAAAATATTTAAAAACAAAGTAATTTAATAATGTTGAACATATCCAATCAAAGAAAACTGTCAGTCGCAGATTTTCATAAAGTTCATTATGAGGGATATGGCAGGACCCCGAGTTGTGTAGCTTGGCCAACCTTTATACATAGCGAGTTACGTGAAGTAGGATATCTTTAAATGATTTTACAATTTTATCTAGTAATTTAGTGCAAGCAGGTGACCTGACACTGGATTATACTCCAGAAGATGTCAGATGACGACTCCAACACCCAATGACATGATTATAATGTACACAAACACGATGACAATATTACAAAGGAAGGCAAGAATAATACAGTATAACCACAATATGCATGTTAGTACTGGCAAAATTATTATAAAAATCAAGCACTGACAGTAATTAAATGCCCTTTGTTGGTTGGCCTCCAGCAGCTCTGAGCTTAGCTCTGGTACTACCAAACTTTAGCTAAATACATCAGGCCTTCAAGACCTATCCATTGCCTGCCAGAAGCCAAGGCCAGAATCTAGATCACTATGTGACAAAGGGAAGCTTGGGTATCAGAGAATAATCGAAAATGCATGGTTCAATCAAAAACCTCTGCAAGCAAAATGCTTCAGGAACATGTTCATAAACTGCAGGTTGAAGCTGCAACTTCAACCTTGGAGCAGGAGCCATGGCAAATGCTGCCGAGCCTACAGGGGCAGATGGCAGGATTGCTGGACCCAGTGTGGAAGGTGGGGAAAACCAGACCCCTCAACACAGAAACAGCACAGACTATTATAGTACTTGTATACACAATAGGAGACCCCAGTAACAGTGGACACTGGGCAGTGGAAACTTGGCAATATACAATGTAAAAAGATCATTACTGTGCTGGTTTAGAAGGGGAAGAACCTCCGATGTACCTGCATCTCAGGGTTGGATAGCACAGAGGAACTGGATCCCCAAGGTCTCTAACCACCAGAGCATACATACATACATGACTATACCACCCTTTAGAATATTAAGAACCTCCCCACTGGCAAACTTCAAAGCCCTGGAACCCTTCCCCAAAAGAGCTATAGTTAAAGCCAAAATCCATAACAGAACCCAAGGAATGGGACTGGAAGAATGAAAGTACAGTAGTGCCAAACAGAGGTCTCTATCCCCTACTGAAGGACTCTCCAAAGTATCACAACTGCAAAGGTGTGTTAGCTAAGACTTTGTGGTGCCAAAATAAAGCTCAAGGAGCCACTGAGGGGTCACTCTTAAAAAAATATATAATGTACCTAATGTACCACCAGATGTACCTAATGCTTTATTACAGAATAAAAAATACCGATAAGCTTTGTACAAATATCCATTCCATCCGATTTCCATAATTAAGAATATAAAACAGAAGAAAATAAAACATTTATATCCAAAGAAAATACTATAATATGAGCTACAAGTATGTTAGGGTCTATTAACAACAGTCTAAATACCTGTACTGTATACATAATATTTAATTGTATATCAATTATATTAGCACATAATAATAATTGATGACAGCAAATACAAAAAATATTTATTGGAGGAAACAGTGATTTGTCCCACCACTCACAGTGGCAAACCTTACCTGTTAGCCATCATGTAATATCTGCGTTCACCAAATATTACAAGCTATCTTACTAATTCACAGAAACTGCACTAATGTAAACCACTATATATAACTTCCAAAAATCATTGATATTTATGCTGTTATATTTGTTAGCATATATATAGTACATTATACAATTAAAACTGTTACTTTAAAAATTAATAAAACAGTTCATATCGACTCCTCCATTATATATGGAGGATCTGCATTGGGATCTGCCAGCCTCCTACTCACCATGGAAAGTCTTAGAAACACCTGGTAAAGGGAGGAGGAGGCGAGGCATGAACCATACCACTTTACCCAAATCGAAGCAGCAGAGGGTGTAAGGAGAACTGCCGAAACATCTCGCCCAGCCTGGGAATCTCACTCGGACAAATCCACTGTGAGCCAATTTCATTAACCATTATGCTACAGGCCACATGCAGTAAATACACATTTACTTTTTTCTTATAAATCAATTCCACCAAGTCTTGTTCGATGCCATATTCCATGCAATTTTTCTCACAAATAGATATCCATATTTCATGATTCAGTACACCTTTAGTATGCTACATCAAAAGTAAACCTATTTACCTGTATAAATTGAGGTATATTACTTGCTGGCAGAGCAACATATACTGATGGACTGCAATGCTGAGGATTATACTCAAGTTCAGCCTCAGCTAGAGATGTTCCCGAAGATGGTGAAAAATACACTGGTTTGTAGTCCTGCAATATGTTACACATTGAATTATATTATATCATTTCATTTATGAAGTACTGTATACAAACTAAATTTATATAAATATGAAATTTTAATCATTAATTTACAGTTACCTGTACTTTAAAAAACTATATTCTTTATCTCATGGTGTGGATTAAGATTAATTAATTTCCAAGAGCAATATTGCTTGGCTTCACCAGAGCCACTTCCATTTCTTCCATTATTTGTGGCCACAACAATAATGTAGGAATGCCACTCAAAAATAATTTCTGTAGTATACAGAACTTATTTCCGAGAATGGTATATGCCGATTCTTACTCGATGTCTTCGTATGCTTTTTATTTTCTTGAACTTCGTGACCCAAGTGATGCATTATTGTTCCCAAATGTTACTGAATGAGCAAGAGCAAGATTCCATCCAAATATTTGCATGTGCCAAGCAGTGTCAACAAATGTGTTTGAACACCTAATCTGTAACCATTTAATTATGTTTAGCAGAGGTTCCCTAAACCTATATACAGTACAATAAGATAGCTAGGAATTGTCAACAAGGCTCATCAACTGGTAGCTTTGCCGAGCTGACTACAGTTGAATGTCAACAAATCAGAGTCACAGGGCCTCTGATGTCATGGCTACAGGGAAATATGGCCATGACAAGGAGGGAGTTGACTCTCTCCATGCCCCATGGCAAGGAGGGATTTCAACATGAGCAGATATAGAGGAAAGACCTCAGGCACGGATCGGTCTGTGTTTCCCTACAATAAATCAAGCCTAAGAAGACCTCTATGTCTATATCTGCAGTGCCTTACATATATGTACTACAACCAATAATGCACAAACAAGCAAGAGGTCATAGTAATAATACTGTACCTGGTCTGATCGTACTAGTTATGTTTCATCTAGTTAAATAAAATATATTTTTACCTACTCTTCAATCTGCCATTTTCCACACACACAAACACACGCCACCAGCCCTAGGGGGGCTGGTGGCTGAGTGGACAGCGCTCTAGACTCGTGGACCCAGGGACCAGGGTTTGATCCCCAGCACCACCAGAAAAACAAATGGGCAGAGTTTCCTTCACCCTGATGCCCCTATTACCTAGCAGTAAATAGGTAGCTGGGAGTTAAACAGCTGCTACGGGCTGCTGCTTCCTGGGGGTGTACAGTTGATCGATTGATAGTTGAGAGGTGGGCCAAAAGAGCGGAGCTCAACCCCAGCAAGCATAACTAGGCGAGTACAACTAGATGACTACACAGTCTCCACTCTGGATCCGATTAGCAGACCTGGAATATCTTGAGTTCTTCACACATCTTGTTATTTTCTGTTTGGATGCTTCCTTGTCTCCTTGTCCTTATCATATGATCTCTTACTGCTGTTTTGCTCCACATATGGGAATGTATCAGCTTTGGCTAGCTCCTCGTCAATGGTACTAGTATATTCAAATAGCCGCTGTGCTATTCTCCGGAATTTGATGCACTAATTTCTGGGCATTTCTAGTGTCTCCTTGTTGCATTTCATGCTCAATATACTGCCATATACGACAGCCATATACAACCCATGTGTCGTCATGAAAAGTTGGGTGTAACTAGCCCCAAGCACATAGCTTCAAATCTTAGAGACAGACACATTCTCTTTCAAATAGATTAATCTACACCAGTTCATTAAATAGTCTAATGTAACTCACACAAGGTGCAACAGCTTCAAGCTAAACATGCAGGAGACACAATGGGAAATGCTCACTCACTCAGTGTAATAAACCCATTAAATAGCCTACCAGCCAAAAGCATAAATACCAAGACTGCTCCAGTTCAAAACACAATGGGAAAATCCTCATGAATAATGTGGGGGGAGCCTTTATCAAGCCACAAGTCTCTAAAGAATAGAAACCTCAGAAAACAAAGATGAAAATCCTTGAGGAGCGAGTCACATCACAAGACCAGACAAAACACATGGACAGGATATGTCCATTTACAGTACGGCACCCACAAAAAAATAAAATAGCGTTGAATGTTATGAAACATCAATTTCAGGAGCAGCCCTGAAGCCATCTTCCTGAGATTCTTTCATACTAAAAGGTCACATCAGCCACAGCCTGTTATGTTGGCCTACAGGGAACCAGAGTCAGAACCTGGTTCCCTGAAAGTCATTGCAGCTTTACAGACAACTGGAGAGTTCACAGAAAATGAAGCTTCTAAAAAGCACCAAAGAACTACCACAAACGAGTCACACAGAACAAAGGGGTCACTCGAGCTCAAAACTCACTAATACCAATTACCACTACCAGGCAGCCTGGCCTCAGCACCCGGCCAGCTCCCCCCATCAGTTCTGGACCCGATGAACATACCTCACAGCACTCAGGGTTGTAAACATCACCGACCCAACCAGTAGCATAGCAAGGAGGAGCGGGACGGAAAGAATGATAATCATCCAGTAGCAAAGATAATATTTAATACTGATATATTTGAATAGTGCTAAGAACATTACAATATCATAAGAACACTTCACCTGATAAATGTTGCCATTTTCATATAGGCTGGCGAAGAGGTACAGCTGCTTACTGACATACTCTGGATCATAAGTGCGATAGACATTATCCCAATTTGCCAAGATTCCCCAGCGCTCAAATGCTGAACGCTGGATCTTCACAGCCTCTTCAGCAAATCTTCTAGCTGAAAAAAAATTTGTCAGTCTTTTAGTTATGTATATTATAAACTCAACTCATAATTTAATTTGTGGTGCACAGTAATTATTTGTCGTTCAGTTCTGCAGAGATATTTAATGGCACTTACCAGCTGCTCTAATTTGAAGAGGATCCTTTTCATTAAACTTGTCTTGTGTTTTTTTCTTCCTTCTATTTTGCTGAAGTGCCTTTAGTTCAATTGGGAGGCCATGGCAATCCCAACCAGGAATATAATGCACTTTATACCCTCTCAGAAGCTTATGCCGCAGAGTTATATCCTTAAGAATCTGGGAATACAATCACAGATAAGGATTTGAGTATTTTATACTGTATATGAAAGGTGCTTATTGAACAAGCCACTTAATTACCCCTACAGAAAATGTCTTGCTCTCTCAAGAAAATGGGCAAACAACAGTCTGCCCATGGTAACAGTTATTCTTTGACATATCAATCATCTTTTAAAATTCAATCAGGTTGTTAAAGAAAAAGAGAGAAACACATGACTTTTCTATCCAGTCAAAAATGACCTCCAGAGGATTTATTCACCTACATTCAAAACCTCATCTAGGTGATACTCAGCCACAGGGTGACCGCCTAAACATCGCTTCAGATTCAGATGTTTATTCAGGTAAGGTATATACATACAAGTGATGTTACATTAATGGATTGATATATAGATAGAGCTAGTACATACAATGCCTAAAGCCACTATTACGCAATGCGTTTCGGGCAAGAAAAACATTAATATCTAGAACTTAATACTAATTGAGCATAAAGAATAAAAAGTGTTGAGAACAAATACAAATAAAGATAAAAAAAAGGGGGAACATGACTGAAAAAGCAGCACAAATACAATAGGTTGACAAACAGTGTTGATTAAAAAAAAAGAAAATAACGGACATGGGTTGACAATAGAGGAGTGAGGTAGGTTACAGGGAATTTATTAGGTAGTGTTTAGTTTTTATCTTAAACTGGTTGAGAGAGGTACTGTCTTTAACATGGTTGGGAAGGTCATTCCACATTCTGGGCCCCTTGATTTGTAGAGCATTTCTGGTTTGATTAAGTCGTACTCTAGGAATATCAAAACTGTATTTATTTCTGGTGTGATGCTCATGGGTTCTGTTACAACCTTCTATGAAGCTTTTGAGATCAGGATTGGCATTACAATTTAGCGTTTTGTATATGTATAGTACACATGAGAGAATGTGCAGTGACTTAATGTCTAACATATTCAGGGATTTGAATAGGGGTACCGAGTGATGTCTGGGGCCAGAATTGGATATTGTCCTAATAGCAGCTTTGTGTTGAGTAATTAGAGGACGTAAATGATTTTGGGTAGTAGAGCCCCAAGCACAAATACCATAGTTGAGATATGGATAGATAAGGGAGTAATAGAGAGTCACCAGGGCAGGGCGTGGTACATAATATCTGATCTTAGAAAGAATGCCCACAGTTTTTGAAACTTTTTTAGATATGTTTAGAATGTGTCCCTGGAAATTCAGCTTGTGGTCAATGAGAATGCCAAGGAATTTGCCATCTAATTTGTTACAAATTTGGGTATTGTTTATTTTGAGATTTATTTGATTAGAGGATTTATTGCCAAACAGAATATAGAAAGTTTTGTCAATGTTAAGGGTGAGTTTGTTGGCAGTTAGCCACAGATGGACTTTATTTAGCTCAGTATTTACTGTGGCATTTAGAGCAAGGGGATCAGGACTGGAGTAAATGAAGGTTGTGTCGTCAGCAAATAGGATTGGTTTGAGGTGTTGGGAGGCATTTGGAAGGTCATTAATGTAGATGAGAAAGAGGAGAGGGCCAAGTATGCTGCCCTGGGGAACACCAATGTTGATGGGTAGGGTGGGAGAAATTGTATTATTCACAGAAACACATTGGAGCCTGTCAGTAAGGTAGGATTTGAGGTATTGTAGGGAGTGTCCTCTGACACCATAATGATGTAATTTAAGAAGAAGGTTTTGGTGGTTGACAGTATCGAAAGCTTTACGCAGGTCCACAAATAACCCAACAGGGAACTCATTTTTATCAAGAGCTGTATGAATCGAGTTAAGCATACTAATAAGTGCATCGTTAGTGCTTTTTTTGGGCCTGAAGCCATATTGGCAAGGGCTAAGTATATTGAGTTTGGCTAGATATGAGTAAAGCTGCTTATAGATTAGTTTTTCAAAAATTTTTGACAAGTTTGGCAGGATTGATATAGGTCTGTAGTTGTTAACATCTGTGAGATCACCACATTTGTGGACAGGCGTTACTCTCGCTTTTTTTAGAATATCTGGAAAGGTTTGGAGTTCAAGTGACTTGTTGAAGAGCAAAGCAATAGCAGGGGCTAAAGATCTGGAGGCTTTTTTGTAGATTAAAGTTGGTATCTCCTCAAGGGCACCAGACTTGGTTTTAAGGGAAAGGATTATCTCATTGACGTCAATGGAATTAATAGGCTTTAGGTACAGAGACTGGGGATAGTTCCCTGTCAGATAGTCCTTAATGTCAGTACTGGAAGATGGAATATCATTAGCAAGGGATGAACCAATGGAAGAGAAGAACCTATTGAACTCAATAGCAGAATCAGAGGCTGAAAGCTGACCATCGTTATTAGACAGGAGAGTCGGTTTGTTATTTAAAGACTTCTTTGATCCCAATATTTGTGAAATTGTTCTCCATGTTTGTTTAATGTTGCTCTTTATTTGGGTAAATTTATCTTCGTAGTACTTAGTTTTGGCTCGTCTAATTATCTTAGATAGCAATAATGAGTAATTCTTTGAGAATTCTTTGGAGACAATCCCTAACCTATACTTTTTCTCAAGGTCATGTTTTTTATTAATAGATTTAAGTATTCCCTTTGTAAGCCAGGGATTGTTAAGCCTTTTGGTTGTGACTTGTTTTGTAAGCATAGGACAGTGGGTATTATAAAGGCTAAGAGTTGTTAGTAGAAAAGATTGCACTGCTAGGTTGATGTCCCCTATGTTACCTAACTCGGACTCCCAGTTGACATTATCAGCAGCAGTTATAAAATTGTTTATAGCAGTTTCATTGTGCAGCCTAAAGCTTAACTCCCTTGTTTCTAGAGGTGGTTTGCTAATGTTAGTTAAGAGAAATGTGGGGTAATGGTCTGTAGTGCTATCGGTGATTATACCTGAAGTAAGCGGAGAGGTTATATTTGTCCAGATGTGATCTAGAGTCGTGGCAGTGCTATCAGTGATTCTAGTAGGTCTAGTGATTAAGGGTATGAGGAAGCAGGAATTCATACAGTTGAGGAAGCTAACAGCAGTAGGGTGTTCTGGCTCGCAGAGGTCAATATTAAAGTCCCCTGCGATAATTAGGTGGTTTTTGTTCAGTCTGTTATCAAGTATTAGATTTCTAAGGTTTGAGTTGAATTCGGACACATCAGTGTTAGGAATTCTATAAACTGCACCCACAGACAGGATAGACTCGGCACCCTTGACTCTGAAGCTGGCGAAGATATACTCCCCATAGCAGTCTCTAGTTCTAATTTCTTTTAAGCATGTTAGTTCTTGGTGGTAGTAAAGAGCAGTGCCACCACCTCTCTGAAGTTGACGACAGTTGTGGATTGCTGAGTAGTTAGGCATGTTAAAGAGTTGAGTAGTATCATCTTTCAACCATGTTTCAGTAAGTATAATAAAAGAGAAATTGTTGTCAATAGCTTCAATCAAGGCACTAACATCATCGAAGTGTTTGCCTAGGGATCTAACGTTCAAATTGATTACAGAGATATTGTGACTATGAGTTAATACATTGTTTACATCATGTGCTGCAAAATATCTGCAATTTAGATCATTAAAGTGATTATTGTCATAGATAGTGGATAAGAGGTTAAGTTCTGGGTCTATACTTGACTGCATAAAAAAAAGCTGATTGCCGGAAAAACAAGAAAAACAAAAAGAAATAAAAGTACACAATACTGTACCAAACAAACACAAAAGGGGCTTACAGGGGTACAATGGAGTAAGGGAGTATGGCTAGGCTAGGAAACCTAGGTAATGAATGAGATTAAAGAAAAAAACATATAAACATGGACTATACAAAACACAAGATATAGATATACAAAACAAAAATATAAACAGGACTAAACAAATACAAAAAAATTGAGCAAAAATTAAAAAAGAGGTAGATTGCTTACAGGTACTCTCAGGTACACTGTAAGTAACAATAGACAGAAAATATATGTCAATATAGAAAAGAATGTCACATACAATAAGATAAGCAATTACATGAACAGATGAAAAACAAATCTGCTGTAAAAATAGGAAGTAATTATAGCAAACACAATATAATAATATAACAATACAATAAGAGCTTACAAAGTATTGAGTCTGCTAAATTAGAGAATAATTATGGCAGGACACAACAATAAATGCAAGCAAACAAGGAATTGAAACAATTAGAGGTGGAATTAAGGTCACTAGATAGCCATGGAGGATGCACAAGTTTGGCGGAGAGAACAAAAAATCAGTAGAGACTGTCAAGATGAATATATAAAAAAATTTGACAAATGATAATTGTAAAGTAAAATAATCTTAAAGAAAATAAATTTTATTAAGCTTAGTTTTAACTTATAATTAGTAGGAACTTAATTAAAAGAACAAAAATGAGATCAATAATTGATTTCAATAAATGACATAGATCAATACAAATAAATTTAAATTTAAAATATAAATGGAATTAGGGTAAGATTAGATTTAAGAGTAAAATTTTACAATGAAACTGAGGTAGATGCTTGCATAAGTGCATGGAGACTTGATGGATTAATTAGGAAATTATATGAATAGGAGAACATCAGGTAAATGGTAAGGCAGAGACAGCACCTTAGACAAAGTTAGGTTAGGCTCAGGCACTGAAAGAGTTATTTTAAGTACTGGCATTGGTCGGGTTCAGGTTTTCAGATATACCACAATCACTTAAGAAGGCCAGGAGTTGTTGGTCACATTTTATTTCATATCTTTTTCCTGTAGCTTCTTTCTTCGCAATAATCGTACCATTCCTTGTGTAGCACTGCTTGATAAGACCAAGGTTTTGTTTGCGTATTTGGCGCAGCCTGTAGAGGAGGGATCCACGCTGCTTAGTAAGACACTCATTTATATAGAGGTTGGTTTTTTGCTGAGCAGCTGTTTGCATGAGGTCAAACTTCTCAGAGGGATTTGCAAGTTTGATGAGCATTCTCCTGTTACGGGGATTGTTTTTATCTATCCTAATAGCCGATTTGATTTGAACATTGACACTGATCTTTGAATTAATTAGGGTGTTGGCTATGTTACAGCAATCCTCACCTTGTTGTTCAGCAGGTAGATCAGTAGAGCTAATTATCAGGGAGTCATGAAGTTGTTGTTGCTCTTGGTCATCTTTGGAAGCCGCCTGGTGAGTCTGAAGGAGATTGATCTGTTTTTCCAGCTTTTTAAGGAGGTCACTTTGAGCTGTGAGGGTTTCTTCAGCCTGAATCTTACGTATTTCATCCATTGCAACATTTGCAACAGTTTGTACGTTGAGAATTTCTTGGTTGTTGTTCATCGACGATTTAAGGAGGCAGTCTATGGTATGTTGTTGTCGGGCGACTGTGTCTTGGAGGGCCAAAATAGCTTCTGATTGCATTTTCACAAGGTTGTGCAGTTTCTGGAGCCATGGATTACTTCGGAGAGGTTTGAAGTTTAAACAGGGAGCCATAGATTGAGTGAATTCTAAAGCTAGAGATCCGAGGTGAGTTGAAGGGGGGGAGTGAGGAGAGGGAGCAGATGCTGTGTTTACAAACATCGGCGAGGGTTGCGGCGTTGCCAGTGTTTCATTCAGAACTCTAGGAGTAATGGAACCAGAGCGAGAGGCACCCCTACCTTGCTTGTTGTTATGTTTGGGCATGTTTTCGACGAATAGATTCTTGGTAGCGTTTCTAAAGGTAGATACTTGGTGAATTATAGTAGGGATGACTAGCGTATTGGGAACACTTGGCAGAAGGGTCGTAGAAAGGTAGGCGAAAATTGGTTAATTTTGGTTGATTTCTGTTGAGGTTCACTGTGAGTTATGTCATATTAAGTCTCCATGCACTTAACTCGTGCTAGGCAGCAGTTAGGCCATGCAACGTTGAGTGGAGACGAAATTAAGCACGAAATTTCAGCAGCTGTGACGGAGCCAGTACCACCGCCAGCGTTTCCCGCCACTTATTAAATTTGCGAGAACGGGTTGTAGTTACACCATACCACTATCAATGTCAACACCTACATTGTCAACAGAGTAGCGAGGAGAGGCCCACTTTACATTTAGCCTAACTCATCCTTTAAATGCAATGCCAGTTTTTCAGACTTATCCCTACCTAATAAAAGCCCCAATTGGTGGGAACAAAAGCCCCAAATGGTGAGAAATAACCAGATACCTGGAAAAGTATGCCAGACCTCATTCAGAGTGAGGAACAGATGAGGTCTATCACAGTCCTCAACAAGGCAGAGGACCTCTGAGGTGGGAGAGGGGCAGCCCTACACCAACAAGCAAGAAGACAGTGGTGTAATCAGATATGAAAATGAAAGAAGCTAAACCAGCATGACCAAGAACATAAGATAGAACCTCCAATAGGGATGAGGAAAACACCCAGTCACCCAGACTGCCACATAGACAGGCGAGCCAGTCACCAAGGAAGAGTCAGAGGGATACAAATGCCAAATCTTTACTAAATACCAAGGATGGGAAGGCATGACTAGCCATGGATACGAACTGCGAGAGAAGGCGTAATCAACCATGCATAAAAACAATCACTTATTTAATCCAAGCACATCCTTGGTGAAAATGTAATGCCCAAGACATACAAGAAGAAGGGCAAAATCTGTTTGCAACACAAGCACACAGTTAACTGCTAAACTTCCAAAATCAAGCCTTGCAGAGGAGAACGAGTCCTGTGTGCTACCCAGAAGTGAGATGACTAAAGAGAGGCTACCCTGTACAGGAGAAGCCCAAACCCCTCAGGGCAGGTATCTCTGGTGGAGCAAGGGAAATGCAAGCTGACCTACGTAACCCTGACCCACAGTCAGAACAAAAAGTAAGGCTAGAGCACACACAATGTTGGAAACATAAAATGCAATTGTGAAAGGGAATGGAAACAATAAAAACATAATAAATCACAACAAAACTAATGTTCCATTAGTGTGAAGCAGATGATGAGTCTGTCAGAGATCATCTCCCACAAGAATTATTACACTACAGTAACCAGGTGAGCGAGAGTGAAGATAGGCTTAATGGGTTGACTTGTGATCCCCAAGTATCCCTTGCCTGAGAGAAGACAACCAGATTCTGGTCCTGGCTTCCACAGACAAGGGAAGCTACTGAGAAGCCCCTCCCAGAAATATACATAGAATCATATTACACAGTATACTTAATATTACAAGCAAATTAACTAATATTTCATGCATCAATCACTTACTAAAGAATCTATATTATGTGAACATACTCTTCTAGTAAATAAATTGAAAGTTAATGTAACATCATCTGTTAACAACATGACCAATATTGATACACTAAACAATGTAGTATTACTGTACCAATATTGTACAGTATACAGTACTTCAAACCTTAGTCAAATCATAGCTTATTTTTATCTACAAAACCTAGTTCCCAACATTAACACGGCACCAAACTTGTTTATAGAAGAACCAGTACGGTGAGCATCACACCTTGTTCACAGCATGACCAATATGAGGTCGTCCATTCGCATAGGGAGGGCCATCATGCAGGACAAACTCGTGTTCTCTTTTCTGCTTTCTCTGCCACTCGTAAAGTGATGCAAAATCTGCAGCCTGTAAAAAAGAAGCACAAAGTCACATTTATAATAATTAATAATTCACTGTGTCGGGCACAGGAAACCAGTGTATTCATACACGTTAGGCTTTCATCGAGGTTCAAGGTCAAATTACTGACCCCACCCACGATGCAACCCAACAACAAGCTGACTAACTCCTGAGTACCTACTTACTACTAGGTGAACAGGCGCATTAGGTGAAAGTAAATGTGCACAATCATTTCTGTCCCGCCCAGGAATCGAACCCAGAATTCTCGATTGTGCATCGAGAACGAACCCAACTGTACTACCCGGCCCTCTTTATGTCACAAATGCAAAAATAGTTACCATCTCAAAATAAAGTAATAATGACAAAACTGATTGCAGTATTGTACTTGCCATTTGCTGTAAGAAAGGCATGCATCATAATATATACAGTATTTTATCAAATTTAAAAAAATAATGAGTACAAAATAAACCTAAAATCTTGAAAACAGTACCAATAGTACTGATAACAATTGCTGATCCATATCATATGGGGTCAAAGCCTTTACAAGTTAGCCAGACATCCAGATTAGCAGTAATTCTTGCTAGAAAGGTAAATTAACATATTCACAATTTTGTGTATCACAACCAACATAATTTGTATTTTCACACACAATAAACTTGAATTTCCATTATTAGGGTAGATTATCAAGGTCTGTTTTGACTGTCAGTTTCGAAGGCTTCTTCTGTTGACCATAGATCTCCAAATGTCATTCAGTAATCTTGCCGAAACTCTCAGTAACCCGGATCTCTGTCTCAGTTTGGCAGACAAACTGACTCAATTCTGTTTGGATTACTAAAAGGTCTGGATTAACAGGGTATGGATTTGTGAGCTCTTAAAGAATCTTCATTACTTCATACAGTTCACAAATGCACCAGTAGCACTCCTACTGAGCCAAAATGGCATTTTATCCCAATCATTATGCTGTACTGTCTAAGCTCACTTATCCAGACTATGGGGAAGGGGCCCCTCAATTTAACTTTTTTTAATCTCTTCACAAGAGAAATTTCCTGTCGGGTTAATAATGTCATCATTCTCTGAACGTATTTTAATCTCTCTACATGCTCAAATGAGTTTATATTCATTCAATAACAGAGACCAAACTGAACTGCATAATCTACATGGGGCCTAACAAGGATAAGACACACCTGAAGAACAATATTAGTGGTCTTGCTACTAACACTTCTAGAAATTAATCCCAGTATCCTACTTGCTGCCTTATTACATATATAAGATAAGATGTTATATATATATATATATATATATATATATATATATATATATATATATATATATATATATATATATATATATATATATATATATGCACTGATTTTTTGGCTTAAGATCCCTACTGATCATGACTCCTAGATCTTTCTTGTAATTCCAACATTGTCCTGCTGCTATCTGGGAACTATTATTATTACACAAGCTCAGAACCATACATTTTTCAGCATTAAACTGCATCTGCCAATCTTTCGTCCATTTTTAAATGCTGTCTATTGTATATCACTTGTATTTCTGAATTTGTTTCCTGCTCTATTCTTGTATCGTCTGCAAATCTCCCGATGTTGCTGTTCAATCCTGTTTAAATTGTTTACAGACATGGTAAACAACATAGGACTGAGAACAGGAGATGATTTTTCACCCACTGGGTTATTAACCCATGGAACTGCCTACCTGCCAAAGCCATAAATGCCAGAACTCTGTTAACTTTTAAAGTACAGCTAAAAAAGATCATCAAGGCAAATGAGGGGAACTTTGACAAGCCGCCGGCTTCCTGTTCTCATCGAGGCTACTAGTGTTAGTGGCTCTCGGATAAACTCGGATAAACAATTGCCCAAAATGTTATGAATGTTAGTGGCTTTACAAGAATGTACGAACCCCAAAGTTATGTACTCTCACAAACCAATGTACCTTCTTGTATATAAATAAATAAATAATAACTAAGGTTCGAAGACAGAGCCCTGGAGCACACCAACAAGAGCCCTGGAGCACACCAACAAGAGCCCTGGAACACACCAACAAGAGCCCTGGAGCACACCAACAAGAGCCCTGGAGCACACCAACAAGAGCCCTGGAGCACACCAACAAGAGCCCTGGAGCACACCAACAAGAGCCCTGGAACACACCAACAAGAGCCCTGGAGCACACCAACAAGAGCCCTGGAGCACACCAACAAGAGCCCTGGAGCACACCCTGAAAAAAGGTGACACCCCTAGGGTCAACACTTGCAGCAGAGGAGCTCCAGCATATTTCAACAATCCTAAGTATTGTAGTACAGGTTGATGGTAGTGAGTGGTGTCCCAGAGAACATAAAGGTATAGTGCTCTTGAAAAATAGGTGAGATAACAGGAAAGTGCTAAGGGAAGTGAAAAATCGGATGAGAAAAAGTTGCCCTAGTGTTTACAGTGCAGAGAAGAACATTCAAGATGGCCACTGGCAAGGGGAAAAACAAAACAGAGCTTGATTTTGAGGGATTCAATGAAGAAAGCATTGATATTAGTAGTCTACATAACAAGTTGGTAAATTTAGATACTATAGTGAACTCTCATGTAGAAATAATTAGTAAATTGAAAGAAAGTAATGACCATTTGAATAGCAAAGTTTTATGTCTTGAGGGTGTCGTGAAAGACTTGCGCAAGGATAAGAATCAATTGGAAACAAATTGCAAAGCCATGGAAGAAGAAAATAAACTCTTAAAAATAGCTTTGGAAGAAGTTAAAGTAAATTTAAACATAAATGACTACAATAGGTTAGGCAAGGAAATTCAACAGGAGAAACAGCTTTTGTCAGCACAGATGGAGGAAGTTACACAGGGAATAGAACAGTGCAAGAAAGATATGCAACTCACTTATGCACAAGTGGCCAAGGAGAAGGAAAAAATAGAAGAAGCAGTAAAGGAAGTCAAACACTGCAGCAACCAAGATAAAACAAACATTAGGCTAGAAGTGAGGAAAGAATTGGCATCTAACCCGAAGTTGGTGCAAAACACAGTTGATCGGAGTAAGTCCCTGATCATTTTTGGCTGCAAAGAAAAGGCGATAACATCTAGGTCAGAAAGAGCTGTAGAAGAAGCTAAAGTAGTAGATAAAATTGTTGGCCTCGTGGAAGGTCTTACAAACAGAGAGAATGTGTGCGACTACAGGAGAATAGGCAGGTACGTAAAAGGGAAAGATCGACCTTTGAGGATCACCCTAAACGGTGCCAAACAGATGGAAGAAGTACTAAGGAATGCTAGAAAATTGCAAAGGGATGAGGATGGGAAAGGGTGGTCGTTAAGACGAGATCTTTCAAAAGAAGATAGAGAGAAGCTGAAACTGAACCTCGCCGAGGCAAAACATTTAAATGAGAGCAGGAATGAAGAAGAAATAAATTCTTTTTTCTACAAAGTGATAGGGGTAGGCAAACCAGTAAAGTGGTACATAAAGGCAAACCAACAAAATCAATAGAGAGAGGGGGAGTGAAGAATAAGGAGAGGGGGAACAAGTTCCTGAAGATTGCATACACCAACATAGATGGAGTGAGATCGAAGATACTGGAGTTAAGTGATGTAATACAGCTGCAGACACCAGACATTGTTGCACTCACGGAGACAAAACTTGAAGATGTAATTTTAAATGAGGTCATATTCCCAAGGGGCTACTCAATTTGGAGACGGGACAGAAAAATTAGGAAAGGCGGCGGCGTTGCTGTGCTGGTAAAAGAACACCTAAAGGTGAAGGAAATAATGACTGCCAATCCACAAGAAGTTGACATAATAGCACTAGAGATCTGCTATGAGGATGATAAACTAATGATGATAAATGCATATAGTCCACCGCCAAGCAGCACGTGGTCAAAGGAGGAGCTGGATAGTAAACGTGAAGGTCTTATAACAATAATGAGAGAGATTATAGCGAGAGCGGATAACGATAGATCACGACTGTTGATAGTCGGTGACTTCAACTTGAAATCCATAGACTGGGAAGCATATGAAGCTAAAACAGAAGATTTTTGGACCTGTAAATTTGTAGACCTCATCCTGGAAACATTCTTGTATCAACATGTTAAACAAGCTACGAGGATGAGGGAAGGGGACGTTCCCTCCATGCTTGATTTGATATTTACCAGGAAGGAGGAAGAGATATTTGACATTCAGTACCTTCCTCCCTTGGGTAAAAGTGACCATGTCTTTTTGGGAATAAAGTATGCAATGCATTATAAGCTGGAAGAAAATAAGGAGGTTGAAGCAGTTGAAAAACCAGACTTCAGGAGAGGACATTATGGTGACCTTAGAAATTTTTTAGTGAGTATAATTGGACAGACTTGATGCTAGGCAAGGAAGTGAATGAGATGTATGGCAAGTTTTGTGAAATATATGATAAAGGCACAAAAAAATTTATACCAAAACAGAGATGCAGAACTAGGAAACAGGATTGGTTCAATAGAAATTGCGAGAGGGCTAGAGACCGAAAGACACAAAAATGGAATCAATACAGGAAGAGGCCGAACCCCCAAACATACCAGCGATACAAAGATGCGAGAAACAACTACACGGCAGTGAGGAGAGAGGCAGAAAGAAATTTTGAAAAAGGGATTGCGGACAAATGTAAAACAGAACCAGGTCTATTCTATAAATTCATAAACAACAAATTGCAGGTAAAGGATAATATTCAGAGGTTGAAAATGGGAAATAGATTCACGGAAGATGAAAAGGAAATGTGTGAAACACTAAACGAAAAGTTCCAAAGTGTGTTTGTACAAAATGAAATCTTTAGGGAACCAGATACAATAAGAATTCCAGAGAACAACATAGAACACATAGAGGTGTCTAGAGACGAAGTGGAAAAAATGCTCAAGGAGCTCGGTAAGAACAAAGCAGCTGGCCCAGATGGCGTTTCACCATGGGTTCTGAGAGAATGTGCATCTGAGCTCAGCATTCCACTTCACCTGATCTTTCAGGCATCCCTGTGTACAGGAATCGTAGCAGACGGGTGGAAACAGGCTAACATAGTTCCAATCTACAAAAGTGGCAGCAGGGAAGACCCCCTCAATTATAGACCTGTATCATTGACAAGTGTAATAGTGAAAGTATTGGAAAAACTAATCAAAACTAAATGGGTAGAACACCTAGAGAGAAATGATATAATATCAGACAGACAGTATGGTTTTCGATCTGGAAGATCCTGTGTATCGAATTTACTCAGTTTCTATGATCGAGCCACAGAGATATTACAGGAAAGAGATGGTTGGGTTGACTGCATCTATCTGGACCTAAAAAAGGCTTTCGACAGAGTTCCACATAAGAGGTTGTTCTGGAAACTGGAAAATATTGGAGGGGTGACAGGTAAGCTTCTATCATGGATGAAAAATTTTCTGACTGATAGAAAAATGAGGGCAGTAATCAGAGGCAATGTATCAGAATGGAGAAATGTCACAAGTGGAGTACCACAGGGTTCAGTTCTTGCACCAGTGATGTTTATTGTGTACATAAATGATCTACCAGTTGGTATACAGAATTATATGAACATGTTTGCTGATGATGCTAAGATAATAGGAAGGATAAGAAATTTAGATGACTGTCATGCCCTTCAAGAAGACCTGGACAAAATAAGTATATGGAGCACCACTTGGCAAATGGAATTTAATGTTAATAAATGTCATGTTATGGAATGTGGAATAGGAGAACATAGACCCCACACAACCTATATATTATGTGAGAAATCTTTAAAGAATTCTGATAAAGAAAGAGATCTAGGAGTGGTTCTAGATAGAAAACTATCACCTGAGGACCACATAAAGAATATTGTGCAAGGAGCCTATGCTATGCTTTCTAACTTCAGAATTGCATTTAAATACATGGATGGCGATATACTAAAGAAATTGTTCATGACTTTTGTTAGGCCAAAGCTAGAATATGCAGCTGTTGTGTGGTGCCCATATCTTAAGAAGCACATCAACAAACTGGAAAAGGTGCAAAGACATGCTACTAAGTGGCTCCCAGAACTGAAGGGCAAGAGCTACGAGGAGAGGTTAGAAGCATTAAATATGCCAAAACTAGAAGACAGAAGAAAAAGAGGTGATATGATCACTACATACAAAATAGTTACAGGAATTGATAAAATCGACAGGGAAGACTTCCTGAGACCTGGAATTTCAAGAACAAGAGGTCATAGATTTAAACTAGCTAAACACAGATGCCGAAGAAATATAAGAAAATTCACCTTCGCAAATAGAGTGGTAGACGGTTGGAACAAGTTAAGTGAGAAGGTGGTGGAGGCCAAGACCGTCAGTAGTTTCAAAGCGTTATATGACAAAGAGTGCTGGGAAGACGGGACACCACGAGCGTAGCTCTCATCCTGTAACTACACTTAGGTAATTACACTTAGGTAATTACACCAACAAGAGCCCTGGAGCACACCAACAAGAGCCCTGGAGCACACCAACAAGAGCCCTGGAGCACACCAACAAGAGCCCTGGAGCACACCAGCAAGAGCCCTGGAACACACCAGCAAGAGCCCTGGAGCACACCAACAAGAGCCCTGGAGCACACCAACAAGAGCCCTGGAGCACACCAACAAGAGCCCTGGAGCACACCAACAAGAGCCCTGGAGCACACCAACAAGAGCCCTGGAGCACACCAACAAGAGCCCTGGAGCACACCAACAAGAGCCCTGGAGCACACCAACAAGAGCCCTGGAGCACACCAACAAGAGCCCTGGAGCACACCAACAAGAGCCCTGGAGCACACAAACAAGAGCCCTGGAGCACACCAACAAGAGCCCTGGAGCACACCAACAAGAGCCCTGGAGCACACCAACAAGAGCCCTGGAGCACACCAACAAGAGCCCTGGAGCACACCAACAAGAGCCCTGGAGCACACCAACAAGAGCCCTGGAGCACACAAACAAGAGCCCTGGAGCACACCAACAAGAGCCCTGGAGCACACCAACAAGAGCCCTGGAGCACACCAACAAGAGCCCTGGAGCACACCAACAAGAGCCCTGGAGCACACCAACAAGAGCCCTGGAGCACACCAACAAGAGCCCTGGAGCACACCAACAAGAGCCCTGGAGCACACCAACAAGAGCCCTGGAGCACACCAAGAGCCCTGGAGCACACCAACAAGAGTCCTGGAGCACACCAGCAAGAGCCCTGGAACACACCAGCAAGAGCCCTGGAGCACACCAACAAGAGCCCTGGAGCACACCAACAAGAGCCCTGGAGCACACCAACAAGAGCCCTGGAGCACACCAACAAGAGCCCTGGAGCACACAAACAAGAGCCCTGGAGCACACCAACAAGAGCCCTGGAGCACACCAACAAGAGCCCTGGAGCACACCAACAAGAGCCCTGGAGCACACCAACAAGAGCCCTGGAGCACACCAACAAGAGCCCTGGAGCACACCAACAAGAGCCCTGGAGCACACCAAGAGCCCTGGAGCACACCAACAAGAGTCCTGGAGCACACCAGCAAGAGCCCTGGAACACACCAGCAAGAGCCCTGGAGCACACCAACAAGAGCCCTGGAACACACCAGCAAGAGCCCTGGAGCACACCAGCAAGAGCCCTGGAGCACACCAACAAGAGCCCTGGAGCACACCAGCAAGAGCCCTGGAGCACACCAACAAGAGCCCTGGAGCACACCAACAAGAGCCCTGGAGCACACCAACAAGAGCCCTGGAGCACACCAGCAAGAGCCCTGGAGCTGTAGTGAGAGAGGACCCACCTGCTGGACATGCTTCTCATTCAACACCCTCTGGAGGCCCTCCACACGAAGGGGCAAGGTCGTCGAGGGCAGGAGAACCGTCCCGCCGTACTTATTCCTTGCTGGTGGTGTGTCTGGGGCGCTGTCCTCGCTCTGGCTGAGAGAGGAGGTGAAGAGCGGCCTGGGCTGGATTAGGAACAAGCGGCGGGTGATGGTGTGTGTGGGTAGAGACTGACACAGCTGCCTCATTTTGGGGTTGATGGCCTCCTGCAGGAGCAGCGAAGCCCACTACTGCAGTCTCGCCCCTCACACACTAACCACTAATCATATTTCGTAAATACAACGTTGTAATAATTTGATACAGCAAGTTCTACAAATCGTATCATTTAGTATTAAAGGCCTGCCATTTATTACTAGTACTTTCCTGTTATTGTCACAATATAAGCAGTAATGCAATGATTGAAATTCGTACGCATATTAAATCTTTATTTTGTCACTTTAAAATTGTCTAGATAAAACTAATCTCTTTAAAATTATAAATTACTGTATAGAAATATATGTATTAATTATCTCTAATTTCTTAGCAGTTAACATTATATAAATAAGGATTTACTAATGTTGCTAATTTGTTGGATGGTTTTATTTACAAACAAGTTGACACTCCTCGAGGTTGGTGGCGGCGGCGACCAGCGCCTCTCCTCTCTGGTGTTCACTCTTTATACATTATAAATATATCTTTATATATACATTCACTGAGCAGTATACCCCTCCTTCTCGGTATTTATACATCTGAGAGCTTATTATAGTTCTGGACTATGTTCAAGACTAACGTATACTTGCTGGTTGGTCAATCAGCTGTTGTGGTTGCCTTAATAACTCCTGCTGCGGTTGCAGCCTGACCTCGTCAACCAACCCGTCCTGAGACCTAGTTCATTCCATCCAGTGGTCAGCCTCAAAGACACATTCAACAGTTTTAACACCCTCTCTGATCAAAATAGGATTTTCCTCAAATATAAATTAATATATTTTAGTATATTGTGCATATTTAGGCATTGGTTAGGTTAGATGTTTATGTTCTGTCGGCATTTATTTGTTTTTGTGGTACGTGGGTAAAGTATTTACGGCGTTTTTCGAACAAAAAGTCGTCAGCGAAGCACTTGTTCCGGAAGTGTTCGGAACTCATCAGTTCTGATTCGTGTGTAAGCCATTTTTCATTCATAAACAGCAGGTTTGGAGGGCACATAGAATGGACTTTGGCCTTTGTTTATGAGGATGGGCTGCATCAACAAAGGTCGATGCTTATTCCATGCAACCGCCAAATCTCTTATATGAATGAAGAATTCTTTACACACGACTCACAACTAATGATTGAACATTGTTCGAAGAGTGACTCACTGGCGACTTCTGTTCAAATTGCAATTCTGTTAATGCTTCACCCTTGTAGTACAAATGCAAATAATTGCCATAGAACCCAAATGTCTAACCTAATCTAAGCCTAAATAGGCTGATGTGTAATAATAATATTTGAGATAATTAGTATTTTGAATGAAGAGCATGTTAAAATTGATGACTGTGTCTTTGGGGTCAGCTGGTGGTTGGAATGAACATGATCTGAGGACAGGTTATACAGTTGATATTCCTTAGGACCAACACCAAACCAAAAAGCAAACTGTTTAAATCAGTTACCCAGTTTTCAGGGGAAATTTTGCAACATGAACTGCTCTTGATCTTGTACAGTATATTAACCCTAAAGTGTGGGTATGATCAAAGGTATACACAAAATGTACATTACACAAAAAAAAAAAATTACCTGGTAAAAAAAATTCTTATAATATGACACAATCAAAAGTTAAGGAAAATGCAAAGAGCATAAATATTTATTTCTCTTTCCTTTCATGTGACTCAGGAGATTGCTTGGTGATGGGGTGGGGGGTTATTTGGATCATGAACTATGGCGATGCAAATTTACTGGCAAACCAAGTGAAGGACTGAGCCATAATAATAATGTTAGAGAATTTGTTTCTTGTTTCACTTTAGTTTACACAATAATGAGAACAATGTGAAATAACTTTATTTACACATAACATAAAGAATAGTAATGTGTGCAGTATGTAGGCCTTCAATAGAATATGTACACCTATATTGCATATAAATTTGTTTCTGGTACAGCTTAAAGGAATGTCTGGAAATGTAGCCCAGAAATAAATTTAAAAACTGGCAAGAAATGCCAAATTGTGATTTAATGAAAATCGCCATGCTGGTAGTACAAGATAACTTCGTCTATATTAAGGAATTAAAAATTATAAAAGTTTTCTTCATGGATCTTGGTTAGGTTAAGTTATAGGTTCTATATGCCGCAAGAGATGCCAACCTTGAATTCTGCTCAATACTCACTTTTCTTTCAGAGCAGGAGAGATTACTGAAAGAGGGGAATACAAAGAACATATACAGCGCACATAAACACGATAAAGTGCAAAATTATTGAGACCCTTTCGAAGTTCTCAAAATGTACACTCTGGAAGGAAACAAAAGGTATTACATAAGATATACTGTACATAGAAAATACTGGAAGTGCATGCCTTAAATTTGCACAGTAAAATAATAACATACTGAAGTAAATGATATGGTAGGAAATGCAAAATAAAACCAGAGAAGAGTAGAGGTGCCATAGGCACAATCAGAAAACACTGTATGAACCTCAAAGGTCCCCATCTGTTCAGTATCCTCCCAGCAAATAGGTACAAGAAATATTGCTAGAACAACAGTGGACTAAAACAAAAATAAGAGTGTTTCTTGCAAGAGATGCCAAACCAACTGGGTTGTACTGTAGTGGATATGTGACACTAGATATGGATATGTACCATTAGATATGGATATGTACCATTAGATATGGATATGTACCATTAGATATGGATATGTACCATTAGATATGGATATGTGACACACTATGGGACACTCCAAGCAACATTCTGTTGACCAAGCTCGTACAAGTTAATTCTGACCCTGGGCTGGGCTGGGGGAGTAGAACAACTCCCAGAACCTACTCTAGGAACAATGTATGATGATGACTGCACTTTAAAGGCTAAATGGGACATTGCACTTTTAACCATAGAGGAATCTTTAATTCATAATACAGTATATAGTAACTAACATTATTAACTAATCAATAACATTTTTTATAAATAGGAATAAATTCCAAGTTTAGTTTGTAACTAAAAAAATATATATATTTTTGCAATTTCAGTGAAGGAATACATAGTGCCACCTCCAGGCCACTATGATCAGGAGCCACCTTAAGACCATCAGAAAATCAAAAAACTAAATTTGGTGGTAACATTCAGCAGCAGCATTCTGCGATCAACTTGTGACTGTGTGGGTACGTATAGTTAGGCAGTTAGTTCACCACATTTCCATAATCTCTGATAATTACTTTACTTTTCTACACTTTTGTAGGCCAGTATGGTAATTATTATCAATAGAAAATGCTAAGCCAATATAGCTACAGCACTATGGTACAAATATTGAGGGAGTTCCTACCTATTATTCAGGATACCAGTATAAGAGCAAAAAGACAAAGGAGTCAGATTCACCAAGAGTTTTTTCAGTAAATATGTGGAATATTGGAATAGGGCTTTCTACCAGTAGAAGAGTGACCGTAAGCAGAGCAATGAAGTTCAGACATTGGGGCTCAGGTCTCCGTTTCATAAAGTGGATATGTGACACACACACGTCCACAAGAGTTAAATCTTGTAAGGCCAATGCATAACCAAGCCACAGATGTTTCCCCCATGTCTTATTTCAGTGCTAACAGTAACCCCCACAGGAATAGGTCACAGTTGATATGGAATTTGTTGCTTGCAGTAGTTAACCATCTATCTGTTCAATAGTTGCAGATCATGTTGTGTGACTGTAAATACCTGAGCAAAGAATTGGTTTCTGAGACATGGAACAGGTACAAAGAGCTTCTTTAGCAGTGATATCTGCTAAGTCATTGGAGGCAACACCAATATAGCTGAAAACCAGCAAAATTTTATATCTGCCAAAGATGAGATATAACTAATGTTAAATTACCATCAGCACAAGATGGGAAGGATTATAACACTCCGAAGATATGAGAGCACTTCAAGTCAAGTCAATAACAAACAATCATTTGCTCATGAAATGTAATAATTTCAGAGCATGTAAAATTACATAAAGTTCTACAATAAAAATATTTGTCTCGGGGAAGCAGTACGTAAAATTTGGTCAAGAATATAATGAATAACCCAACTTCATCAGCAGATTTTGTGCCATTTGTAAATAGAGCATCAGATTACTACATTCCCATCATTACTTTTTCCCGGGTTTTAGGTTGATCTCTGATCGCCAGGCTCCCCCTTGCCATAAATAATGAACCAATTTTTTGTTCCTGGTTTCCACTAGGCAAAGGTTGATTTTAGAGGCCTAGTGTAATTAACTAAGGCTTGGCAGAGCCAGTGCTTAAGTTTGCAGAGCTACAGAAGTCTCACTAGTGTGACAATAATCTCCTTCAAGAGATTGAGCCTGCTCTTCCCTCCACAAACCCGTCGTTGAAATTATATAAAACGACTATGGAAGACATGTCCAACAATGACAACAACACCAGCAAGGCTTGCCAGGGTGAGCAAAACGTATGCAGCCAGCCACCTGTTCGGACCCAAACCACCAAACTACATGTTGATCGCTACCGGCTCCGCTGATTGGTCGCCGGTCTGGCTGCACCTGCACTCGCCCCCCCATACTACTTGATGTCTGGGGTCGCCCCAACCTCGGACTTCAGAATATTCAGTGCTCTCGTTGTCACCACTCCTCCCGGCTAGACGCTAGCGTGTACTGAGAGAAGTGGTGGCTTAAAGCCAATATTCCAGCTCCTCCCATTTACTTTTGTATTGCACTTCTTGTTATTTTGCCTTAACGTAACTTTTCATTGTGTCATTTAATTATTCTTATTATTTTGATTGATTTTATTATAAGAATTTGTTTGTGCATTTTATTCATGTTTTGATTTAATTAACGTAATTAAAATTTCATTGTTAAAGTTTACTTGTGTTTTGTGTGTCTTCTCCTTACCTTACCACAGACGAAGTTCCAGTTTTTTCTATTTTTTTTTATAACTATGTGACGAGGCCATACCCCTAGCCTTAAACAGCCGAACACCAACGCGTTACCGTCACACTAGAAAAAGGCATCTCATTACATGACTCATGTTAGCAGGCTCTCTCTCAGCTCTCCTTTCCCACAGCTCGTCGTAAACCATGCACCACTATTTTTCCCTCGTACACAATCCACAAATTAATTTATAACCATGTCCCCAAGGGTAATATGTTTGGATGCATGGTAAAGGCACTATTAACCATACAAGATGTTCAAAGTGCTAAATGACTCAAACATCCTATAGTTTGGCCTTAATCCTAATCAACTTCAACCTAGAGATGGACGTGATAACTGTATTTGTATGAATGTTTCCTAACATTTATCATGAGATAGTTAGGATATGTATTTTCAAGAATACTGTACTTAATACCTGTACTTGTTTTGAGAGATGCATGGCATATAGGTACTATTGACTGAGATTGAAAAATACAGTATACAGTAGTTCCAGTACAGTACAGTTTTACTGGTAATTATGTTTTGTGGGGGTATGTATAGTGTTATCAAAAAACAAAATAATAAAATTAAAATTTTCTTCTAGGTAATATGGCACTGTGATTTGTGAAACTGATCCACTTGGTAAATAATATATTATAACTTCAACATGTTCCGCATCCTTGGTTACGTATGTCATCGCAAATTAGTGTGCGGGACAAATCTACACAGAACGTCAAGACTGGCAGTTCGGCAGCTCCACGGTGAACCACAGAGGCATCGAAGTCTCGTACAGATTCAGGGGACAGAGGCAGCTGAATTCCTTCAGGGCCTTATTACAAATGACATAAATCATTTAGAAGATGGAGCTAAAAGCATGTATTCAATGCTCCTGAATACGCAGGGAAGAGTTTTATTTGATACTATAATATATAGAAAAGATGAAAAGAATTTCATTGTTGAAAGTGATAATGATAGAGTAATCCAATTAGTGCGACACCTGAGGATGTACAGAGTAAGAAGGAAAATTGATATTGATTGTATTGATGATGATTATCATATTTGGTGTGTGTTTGATCCTGACTTAAATTTTAAAGATATTACACATGTAAATTTAGAGTCATTGTACATGAATCCTAGAGGAGAGTCTGAAGCTCTCCTAGAAGTCTCGAATAATGTGGAAGATGTCATAATAACAAGAGATCCAAGAATGAAATATCTGGGCCATAGAGTAATTGTCCCATCTAATGGTTCTATTGATGATATTCTTCCCAGCATTCAACATGGTGAAGCGAAATTCATGACCCTACGTTACAGATTGGGAGTGGGTGAAGGTATGGTGGAACTTCCACCTACAAAATGTCTCCCTCTAGAGGCCAACTGTGACTATCTTCATGGTGTCAGTTTCCACAAGGGTTGCTACATTGGCCAAGAACTTACTGCCAGGACTTTTCATACCGGTGTTGTGCGTAAACGATACATGCCTCTCATATTCTCGGGTGATGCTACTGATGTGTCTTTTGATGCTAGCATAGTGAATGAAAAGGGAAAGTCTGTGGGAAAAGTACGAGGTTGTGAAGGTCAGTATGGCATTGGACTTCTAAGAATTGAAGAATGTTTGGAGGCTAAGTCATTAATGGTTAATGATGTGCCAGTTAGTACATTTAAACCAGCTTGGTGGCCATATGAAGCTTCTAAAGAAAGAATGAATTAAATCTTACATACTGCATAAGAGATAATTTATATCATATTTATTGCACCAAATAATATATTGTCTCCAAGTTTTAAAAAGTTTTGCTTAGGCTATATTATTATTACCATTTATGAAATCTTTAGCACAAGAACAAAAGTTCGCCATGCAGTGTATTATGCTTTGGTGATGCCTGAATTATTCTTAAAATAAATTAAAATTAGGGCTTGCATGGGTGTAAATGTGTGGTAGTAAATTATTCATATTTTAAATAGGAATTGGAAACCCATCCATAAAGTTTATTCAAGCTATGTAAATGTTACCATAGAAACTCAAATGCTGAAGTAATAAATTAATTAGCATTTCCCGATGTATATACATTACCATTACCTAATAATACTGTACAAATAAAAAAGGTTATATATATTAAAAAATTAAATGTCACTTGTCCATTCATTATTTCATTCAAACTACGTACTATACACAGTATACAGTACAGTAGCATCACAGATAAACAAGCAGTAATCCTCAACAGCACCCCACAACTTCGTAAATTTAGGTTCACGGCACTGCTTGTTAACAGTCTCATACAGTACTGTACAATATATACATATATGGTGACATTCACTCCCACCACAAACTACTTCCACTTAACCTTGTCCCTTACCATATCCTTTGTGTTGTTCACACACTTCATCCCAACCATCATCTATTTCGACCCTCAAATTCACATCAAAACACTACTGTATCTTCACCAGTGTGTCATCCATTTGTTCAACATATCCAGACCATGTCAGTACACTCCTAAATCTTGCACAAATTCCTCTTTTTATTGTTAACACGCCCCTCTCCCCTGATCATCTTCCAGCACTTCATCACACGCTTTGTAACCTTTCACACATGCCTGCTCCATAAACCGACTCAAATGTATTGATGATGACATTCTCACATTTCCTGGACTCTTCCAGTTTCTCTCCTGCCATACACTTTGTCCACTACAGTATACTTAGTAATTTAAGACCTCTATAATGCTTACCCTCTACTTTTATACAATGCTACAATCACAGCTCTTTTTTTTTTCCAATCCTTGTGTAGGAACATTAATGTTGAGCATTTATATTGGTTTTTTCTTGTTACTGTAAATTGTTTACTGTACAGTACTTGAGAATTCATTTTAAAAGGAAATTTGCACATGTTTGTTATACAGTTTAGGGAGCTGGTCGGCCAAGCGGACAGCACACTGGACTTGTGATCCTGTGGTCCTGGGTTCGATCCCGGGCGCCGGCGAGAAACAATGGGCAGAGTTTCTTTCACCCTATGCCCCTGTTACCTAGCAGTAAAATAGGTACCTGGGTGTTAGCTGTCACGGGCTGCTTCCTGGGGTGGAGGCCTGGTCGAGGACCGGGCCGCGGGGACACTAAAGCCCCCGAAATCATCTCAAGATAACTCAAGAATCTCAAGAAGTAATCAGTAACCTGTGCCTTGGTGAATGTTGAGTATTTGGCCATTTTTAGTGTTACCTACTTCATCTAATACCTTGCAAGATCTAATTATTCCAAATGATATGAGAATCTTATATAATTTGGAATAATTAGATTTTGATATGATAAAAATAGCCAAGATAGGGCAATTACAGGGCTATGGGGTTGAAGGAGGCTTAATAATAAGTACCATTTGACCCAGGCTAGGCATTGGTATCAAAATTTTAGAGGCTGTTCATTCAGATTGATAGCCCTTTAATATCCTCCATTCCATTCCGAGCTGGATGCTCTCTCCGTTTTCCCCCAAGGTCGTTGTTCAGGATCTGGATTTGCCTTCTCTGCAAATTTCAGCAGTCCTGCCTTGCAACCAATCTGCTACCGAGTGAGCTGCTCAAGTTCTTACTCAGGAGCCAGTATTTCATACCACTTTTTTTTTTACTAGTTTATATTGGTTAGGTTCCTATAATATTTACCAAAAAATGTACAGTCAATTGCTAGTGTTGTAATTAATATTAACTAGCTCCATATTTCAGCTGGGTACAGGGATCTTTAGGACTGTTACAGCATTATCGTAGACAATTATAGTGCCAAGGGCCATTCCATTGTGCAGGTTCACACATTCAACTGCCGCACGTGGTAAATGTTTCAACTCCCACACATCCTTAAAGTCTTACTAAGAGCTACCTTCATTCTAAATATTTTTGCATGTCTCCCTATCTTTTCATTTGCTGTTTAGTTTTTTGTTAAATGATCTATTCTATAGGCTACCTTTTACTCTCATCGTATGCCAGCTTTCTTGCTTCTCATTTACTTTGCAGCCATAAAACAGTGTGTTCTTTATCATTAACTGTTCTTGCCACTTCCTTATCAAGTCAATTGCTACACATAATGGTCACTGAATTCCATCAAAATTTAAAACAAATATTTAATGTGGGCAAAAGTATGTTCTATCATTAAAACATACTACAAATTTTCTCAAGAATCGGCTTGATACAAGTTATCTCGTATCTACTTCTGTAATATTAATATACAGTAATAGGATTTAACATTTATCAAATATTTGGTTTTTCACTTGAATATATGAAGCTACTGCCAGTGTTCTGATTTTTTGCATTCTCTTGCCCAACAGATTATTGCTTGTGTACCACCTGACATGGAAGTTGGAGACAAAATGAACTGTACAGTATACAGATAAAGCAATCTTACATATATGAGCATTTATGGTTATGTATAACTACCGAATTTACAGTATCTTTATATAGCCAATGTCTAACCTTAACATTTTACCAAGTATCGATATCTGACTTAATAAGGTGCTCGTACCCACTATGGCACATTTAACTAATGATACAAACTCTAAAAACGAAAAAGGTGGCACTTTTGTCTGTGAAGCCTGTGGCTTGAGAGAAGTGTATCATTATTATGGGTGTAAACCACCATTTCATAAGGGCGTTACTTTCCTAGAAAACTGCTACCTACTGAGAGATCCCTTCCAGAGTGAAGGTGGAGGATCCTTTGTACTCTTGGGAGGAGAATGTACTGCCTGTAGCCGTGTCGTGTGTCAGGGGACCTCCTGTAGTGTCTTTTATACCAAGAGGTTTTGTCTTAGTTGTGCAAATGCCAACATTGAAGAATTTCCTCAAGAAATGCAACTGCGGATTAAAAAGTGTCTTTTAAATACATGCTCCACTAAACACAAAAACTGAATATAAAAATTGGAATACCGTACACACAAACACCAGCTGTGTGCTTAACGAAATTGTTCACAGATTATTCCAGGTTAACAGTCATGTGCGTCAAACTAAAAATCTTGTATCTATGATGCCACGCTGCTTTGAAAACTTCTCATATTGAAACTTTCATCAATACTTCACATATTGTGCCTCAAGTGTTTTAGAGGCTTACAAAGTAGCAACCCATCCTCCTATTCAGATAGTATCTATTGTGACGATTGGCAAGTCAGAATTTGTATGTTCTTAGCTTTTAGACAGTAGTATACTGACTAGTATGGAATTCTTTTGATTAAAATAAATGAAGCTAAAACACAAACTTAAATATTCATAGGGCTAGTATAGCACACATACATACTGTTTTAGGCCTCAGATATCCTGTATTAGGCCTAGGGAGGTTAGGATAGGTTAGTTTAGTTTGTCAAAGCAACACAAGTAAAAAATTGTTTTCCAGTTTGTCCAACTCAATAGTACAGATTTCTACGTTCTAATTTTGTTGCACTGTACATCGGTATATATACTAAGGTCCTCATCATTACTGTAAGTACCAGTACTACCAAAACAGGAGAATAAGTCGAAGTAGCACCCAAGAATTCTACATGATTGTTAAAGTTAGTCACCCAGAAATAACTGTGAAAAGAATGAAAACTACTCTTAGCAAACACAGGCTACAGAAAATTAATTATAAGAAATATAGCAACATAGAAATGTACAGTGTTAAAAAAAAAATTGAAAGGAAAACTTTTTAATACAAGTGCAATGTAGATGGATAAAATGGTGTAAGCCAAATCAAATTGTAGCCAAAGAAAAGAATCAATAAGGAAAATGGGTGTATCCATTTAGTTCCCATGGGTGACAGGACAACCATGTACTGGACAATATACTGTAGCAAATTGAATGTCATTTTATTTTTATTACCTGCTAGCAGCAGTTTTAATTTTACCTTCAATTTGTAACAAGTTTTAATTCTCTTGACTACAACTATTTTTTAGCACGGCATCTAACCAGAATTGTGGATACAAAAAAAGTATACAGTACTAACAATTGCTGTATTTATCTGCTATCATTTACAGAATCATATTTATTTAGTTTTCCCTACAGTCCATATTCTATATTGAGCAAAAAATACAAGCACTATTGGATCTTTTAATTTTGATTTTTCCATGTATGATTTTTCATTCAGTGATCTATAGTACTCACGGTGCTGTAGTTAATTTTGTTTATAATTAACCAAATCTTTTTTAACAATTTTGAAATTAGATTCCATTCTCTTAAAAACACAATGAATTCTCTTTAAATTTTCCCTTAATTTAGTTATGTACTTGTAATTTGAACTCATCATGTTTTACTAAAATTAAAATGGAGGATTTTTTTGTACCCATTCAATTACATTCAACTTAAAAAGTGGGTAGCCATTCTGTTTAACCAAAAGTAACTAGTATATAAGACAAAGAAAATTTTTTGTACAGTATATTAATTTCATGATCACTTAACAAATCTGTATATCGCTTACTAAATAGCCACAATACTCAAGATTTGTCGAGTAATACAGATATAAATATCTGTACATATATAAATATGATGACTGTTTCTTAACCCACATTCCCTTTTTTGCTTACCCATTAAAAGGTCACTGATGTCTGTCTAGCAAGCTCAATATCTAATTTTTAGATGATAGCATTTGCTGGTTCCTTAAGAAACCTTCCTAGAAAACATAGCAAAATTAAGAGTCAGGTCTCATCCAACTCAAACTCTCCAAATGAAATTGCATTTGCCCTCTGGATTGTGACACTTGAGGCAACGGAACAGGAAACTGGCTGCTCTTGAAGCCTCTGGTTTACCCAATAATTTCCTTTTCTGCTTCAAGAACTTTATACCTATGTCAAACCATGCCAATTTATTAACATATTTTCAGATATATATTTCTTTGATATTTAGCCTTTAGAGCATAAGAATGGTTACTATTAAGGGGTTGGGACCTCAAAAATCTAAAACATATTCGTCCAAATATGAAATATAGTGAAAATTGTTAAACATCTAATATTTGGCATCACCATCATGAGAATTTCATCCCAATATGTTAGGAAATAAATTTTAGAAGAAAAAAATGCACAACTGGTGCTGATAACAATAACACCTAGTCAGTGGAACTCATGGATAATGCAGTGATAAGGAGATGCAAGCACCTATCCAACGCACAAGAGTAGTAATGGTAAGGAGTCCACAAAGTGGATATACAGCTGGTGCCTTTTATGATTGCAACCTGGAAGGCAAAATTTCACACAAATAATAATAATGAGTATGTTATGTTGCTGTATTTTATTATGTATCATAAATATATTGCCCAATGCCACTATTCTAATGGCCACCATTTGGGGGGGGGGAAGTTTCTCATCTGATTTTGTTATGGTTTCTACATTTTTGAGAATGCATACCAGTCACTATGTAAAGTTGGAACAAAATTGGTCAACATGTAAATCAGCCACAGGTGGCAGAACTTTACTTAATTTTTTTTTTTGGCCAAGTTATTCACAGATTTAAAAATATTTTCTTTGTCTCTCTAAGACTGTTTTTGCTGAATGGGGACCAGATGAGGGCTTTATCACTTTTATAAAGTACAGTGATATACCCCTAACCCATTATCCTTGTATTTTATTTGTTTTGGTTATTTTTTCTTGATGTCATTTCAACACCGACCCAAAACTTTCACATTCAAATACGAATGCCAAGCAATATTTAATCAAACTTACAAGATATCCCAAATTCGAACTCCTATATTCATTGCCGAGAACTGTAACATTATTTTTCTGCATGAACAGGATTTTCATCTTTTGAGACAACATACAAACTTCAGTTTCAGAGAGATTTCTCACCATTTGTGCATATGCGCAACGTTCTTAGTTCTAAGGTTTAATTAGTTCTAAGGTTTAATTGCTGTCGTTTATTCATAAATCCATAACTTTGGGAGTTATAAATTTGTCTCAATTTTGAGCACAATTTGAAGGCCATTGACTTTTTTTTACAGTAAACTATACTCTCGGATATATTTTAAAGCAATGAAAATTAATGTTATATGCCCTTCTGAGCCCACAATGAATAAAATAAAAAATTGCTGAAATTTTAAATTAGTTTAGTTAATTTGAAATTGTGAAAATGCTCAATTTTTTTCCTGGTCATGTTATTATATTGATCCATTAGGAAAAGTTGAAACATTTACCATGTAGATTATGCACAAAAAATTTGAGTGTTTGAGGAAGGTTGAAAATTGTGCACCTGGCCCCTTAAGTACACATAGCTACGGTAACGAACAGTCTAAGCCTATTGGCATGAACCTATAACAATGTCCTAGGCCCTTGTACTTACCAGTCATCTAGTTCTTCCTGACAGTGGCAGCCCCACCACCTTCAGATACACTACTGCAAATAGCTATCAGCCAATGTTGATGCTCAAGTCACTCACCTGTTTACCATCCTGCCAAGGTTGCAGGGCACTCGCCTAGTTGTGCTTGCAGGGGTTGAGCTTTTGCTCTTTGGTCCCTCCTCTCGACCTGAAGGGTGACCCCATCACGATGCTTCCGGCTGCCATCATGTCAGCACATTTGGGATCTCTTTGTGCTGGATACGTATTCTTAGCAGTAACAATGTTACAGGCAGGTGTATCAAGTGATGTACAGTATTTACAATTAAAGAAGTCTCATGTAACCAATGATTTAATGTTGAACATTATATACACAGTTTATAAGTAAAAGCACAAGATTCATTCACTGACCAAGACTCGCATACACATCAACAGTGTCAATATATTCACAAGTGCTATTTTAATTATTCATATTTAAATAAAATTTTGTATAAGTATTTAGAAGCAAATTTCTAATTATTAATAATATACCACATAAATAATATATACATACCATGTATATACGCCGCCCGTGTTGGGCAGATATGTCAGATTTGGCAAGGCTCGTTCAGTATATTGACAAGATTTGTGTGATTACGTCAATAAAATTTGACATAAAATATCTTAAGTTATCAAAAGGAGGCACTAAATTAAACATCTTAAGTTATGCATTACTGTATAAGGAATAATTGCACCCTCCCCCCAATACTATATTGCATATTTAATGTTTCTTCTTTTTATGCAGATTGCTGACATTTCCCTTACATCTTGTATTTTTAACCATAGCAGTTACTTTAACCATGATATATTGTACAATATAATGCTGAACAAATTAGACAAAAATTGTAACAGATTTCTTAACCAAAGTCAACCTTGTCAAAATTTACATAATGATTGGGTTAACTTAAAAGTTACTATCTATGATTTGCATTATCTGCATATTAATTTTTTTTTTACAATAATAGTAAAAAATTAATATAATTTATGTCTAATTGGCAAAACTATGTGAGGCCTAGCTAGCAAGTTCTGCCTAAAAGACCCAACAAACACTGTATACATACAGTACACATTACTGTAATAAGATACTGTACCTATAAACAGTTTCATGTACAAGGCAAATTAAAACAAATGCTGCCAAAATGTATGAATACACCATCCAACAGTCCCTTTATTCTTGTTTCGGCTTCTTCTTCTTTTTCTTTTTCTTTCCAACTTCTTCAGTTGGGTTTTCTATAACTTGTTCAGCTTCCTCATGCATATCTAGAGCCTGCCCTTCTAAGCTTACATCCTTCTTCTTTTTCTTCTTTTTTGGAACTTCTACAGCTGGCATCTCTTCCACTAATTCTTCACCACCATTCACCTCTGGCTCCTCTACTTCAATGTTTCCCGACTTTCTCTTCTTCTTTTTCTTCTTCTTCTCAACAGGTCCATTTTCTGCAGGCTGTGACAAAATTGTATTTAAAAACTTCCGAAGGAAAATCAGCAAGTCAATTGATGTGCTTAAGTGCAAACTGACTTGTGTCAAACATGTTAGCAACACACAAACACACGTGAGGGAAGGGTAGGGGGCGACAAGCAGCAAGTGGGGTCCCACGTTATGGTACCAGAACCACAACTGTTCTCCATTCATTTCATGGTCTTCAGGAATATATAGAAATGTGAATGAAAGCATTACTAGACAACTTTTCCAAAAGAGCTGCAGAGGACTACAAAGTACCATAAGAGGACCTAGATGGGCTGACTGTATGGGTGGATAAATGGTTATCGATGCTTAATTAATCCCAACAAATATTAAATACTGAGGGTTGGAGGAAGAGTTGATAATGGCAAATATTATTACCAGAAAGGCTTCTCTGAGCCAATACCTGGTAATGCCTGATATGATGTCCATGTGCAGGAAGAAGAAACTTTTGTACGAAGATAGTGGACCTAGAGCAAACTAAACATATAACAAAAGCCAATGATTTCTTCCCAATGGTTTCCCTAATTTTGGCATATTTTTATAATAAAATTAATCTGATTTGTATTTAACACTTTCGCGCTTTATATTAGAGATAACTCGTCACTGGTTTTTCTTACGATTCCGCATAACTGCCTACTTTTCTCGTCAATCGAAAAAATATTTCTATAAATTCCATTTTTTAACTGAAATGGATGGGGATACAGTACTTTTGTTTTGTAGAGAATTTATTTGCGAAGTTTTTGGTACCAGAATGAATATTATATCACATAAACTTCTATGAGTAAAAAAAAAATACACAAAGTATGTTTGGGGGTGTGGCGAGCGTGTGGCAGTGGGTTCCCTTTAGCCGTTAATATATCCAACACGTGGGAAATATTTGTATGTGTTATGTATATGTCTGTGTAGGGAATTTTACTGCGATCACTGTCATACAAATTATAAAATGTTTCAACAAGTATAAACATGACAAACATCAAACGAACGAAAACAATACGTTCGTTTCTGCCGCGAACGCATACTGAGCGACGTGGTTCTATATTTGGCGCTTCTCTTACACATGCTTTGTACCAATGTTATACAGTTCATCTTATAGAAAATTTTATTGCGAACACATTGGTATAAAAAAGAAATACGTACATAGAAAAGTAGGGTCAGGAAACGTATAAACTTTCCAAGCATGATTTCCCCCCTGTGTTTTCGCCAGTGCGCTCGCGGCTAACTACTCTCCACTTCACACACTCTTGCGGGTGGGCAATTACCTATATTAAACATTCATATGCATATGTCCGTGTAGAGAATTTTATTGCGATTCCAATGATACCAAAATTAGCGATGTAGGACAACTGTAGGCTTCGCAACCATTAAGAAAGTGGAAACATTTTGTTGCTGTTTGGCGCTCTCGGCGAGTGATCTGCATAGTTTTTTATTTGGTGTTGATACTCCTTATGCTTGGGCGGCATTTTATAGGTATGCTCTTATAGACAATTTCATTGCGAACACAGTGATACCAAATTTAAATACGTGCGCCTTCAATTATTGTCAGGACAGTCAAAAGAGTGTACACTTTTTCGGTCTTACCGCGTAGGCCCGCGAAGTGCCGAAAGCATCTGGGGTATTGTTTTTTTTTGAGCGCCGAGAGCGCGAAAGTGTTAAAAAGGGATGAAGAAAATCAGTCCAAAATACCAAAACAACATCTGAGGTACGCAAATGCAAAAATGGAAGGGGTAAAGAAAAAAAAAGGTCCAAGTATGGATGTTACACCAGCTTTAACACCTGAAGCATAAATCAATAGAATAACATTAGCAGCATATTCAAAATATGCAAACACAATGACTGCTTTCAAGATTATCAAAATAGTATACACAGCATGCATTAAACTCGGTACCAAAATATGTAGCACCGCCATGGAACCTATACCTGAGAAAGCACAAGAAGACAATTTATCGGGTCTAAAGGCATGCCACAAGACCATTACCATAAACAGGTGGACTGTCGAGACATGTTAATAAGCAATATGATCACTTATAAAAGATACTGAAGGGAATAACGTGGATAATAGAACTAGAATTAGTCTTTATAGGTGATAGAATATGGGATAGAACTAGGCTTTCCCAGGTGAGGAACAATACAATGAGACACAGGTGGATGTTTGAAAGTGGATGAGCCAAGATAAATTTAAGGAAATACTTCCCCTACAATGAGTGGTCAGCAAGTGGAATGAACTTTCTTTTTAGGTTCGTCATCATCATGTACGTGTTTCTAAAACTAACAGCCTAAAACTGTGTTGTATTGACCACGTACACTACAATCAGACCAGTCCTGATCATGGGAAACAGGGAATAGGGAACAATCAGATCAGTCAAACCACCTGCTGTTGACCTCAGGACATGACATTATTCCAACTACAGGTGCCCCTGACATTGGACTACACTACCAAAGGCCATCATATACCTTTATGTGACCTCTCACTAGATTATATTGTACATTAATTTTAAAGCAAGTTTAACGAAAACCTACTCAAATCCCAGTAGCACTCATGATCCTGTGTTTTATAAACTCAATACACACACACATGCAGATGATGAATCATAACATGGCTGAAAAAATGACAAAACCACAACTCAGAGGATGGAAAAGCACGACTTGATAATGGTCCATTACGGACCGAAACGTCGTCGCTTCTCCATCTTTCGACTTGTGGTTTGGTCATCATAACGCATACACGATATGGCAATGTGTAAGATGATGATGCCATATGGTTGCAGCCGCTAATTACCTCTGCTACAGTCTCCTCTTCAGGGGCAGCGACAGCATCTGCCTCCTCTACAACTTGTTTTTTATTCTTCTTCTTTTTCTTTGGTACTTCCTCAGTCACTTCATTTCCAACAGCATCACCTGAAAGTACATAATGAAAGATAACTCTAAACATGCTCTTCCTACAATTCAAAAAATTTGACTCATGTGCAATTGAAAAGCTATTTTAGTAGCCATGGAATTCAGCCATCTCCATCAGGTAAGTCATACTGTTCCCATGTATGTGCTTAAGTACTGTCTGTACTGTGTGTATATGTACAGACAGGATAGATTAATAATCTGCACTGGAAAAGGAAATGATTGGCTTATCCAGACTTTCTACCTTTTCCCCCCCTCAATAATTTTAGCAAGCTCTGAAAGGTTTTGTTGCTAAATTATATGCCAATTCAGCCTCCCATTGTTATTACAGGCAGGCAGGACAGTTACTCAGTAGACAAAATATTGAAGTTCTTGTGAGACAGGATCACGTATAACATTTGGGGTTTATGGCTCATGCTATGTAATATGAAACATTGGTTTACTGAGAATTATATAAACTATATAATATAGTTATAGTTATTTGTTAATGTCAATGGACAATACAGCAAGTACTGTATTACAATAACAAACAAAATATTTAGTATAAATTTACCATTAACAATGCTGTCACGTTTACGTTTACTTGACTTGGTCTTCTCTTGTGCCAGAATATTTTTGTGTTCAATCAGTGCTTCACTCATCACTTCAACATTCTTCCGTGGTAAATCTCCAGTTTCATAAAATTTGAGCCTCTCTTCTACCTGGTCCCGAAGTTTTTCTCCAAATACCGTAGTTAAATTTTCTGGCGATGTAAAGAAAGGCAAAAATTAATTATAAAAGGTTCTTTAATTTAACTGTGAAGGATTCATAAGTTTGTGTGTGATCATTTCAAAATGGCCAAGATAGTTCATACCAGTGGGACCAAAATATTTACAGAAAGACAGTAGCCATATAAAGAAGGCTTGAACAGTGATCAATACAGAGATAGAGAAACCAGAGAAAAGGTTAGAATATTATGTAAGAGAGAGGGAAGGAAGAGGCAATAACTGAACTGGAAGGGGAAATTAAAAGGAAAAAAAAATTACTGAAAAACACAGTAACTGGCAAGGGGGATAAGAGGGCAGTCGAGGAAAAACAAGAGAAGGCCTTAACAAGCACAAGTTAAGGCAAAACAATTAGTGTATAATTGAACACTTTCCCATTGCAATTAGGTTTTTTTAGCATCATCGGTACTCTGACAGTAAACATTCTGATGACACTAAAAGGTGTCATCAGACTGCTATTCATGAATCTTCATATATTTATCAATGCCATACAATCTACTATAAATTCAATTGTTTTCTAAATGCAAAACCTAGATTCTAGATTTCTATTCTCTAAATGCAAAATATTCTCTTATTCTCGTGACATTTACAAACATTGAGACACCAAATTTATAACTAATTTTTGTACATTGTCTAGTAACTCAAAATTAGACAATGTAAAAAAAAATGAATATTGTATATAATTTTTGTTTTGGTAAGTGGGACCCTAAGATACCCAGAACTGTTATGGCCGGCAACACACCTGCTGGCCAGAACATTTGTGTGTTAATCATTTCTTTACCACTGACACATCAGTAGAGTTGTACAAGCATAAAATTCAACCAAGAGAGGGAGGCCTAAGAGATAATAAAATAACAAATTATCAGCATTGCATACTCTCTCGGCTATTATGTATGTTATTCATGGATATGAAAAACAATCAGGTGGTGAAAACCAGTGGCAAAGGCCAGAAAGAAAGTTTATGGAAATACTTGTCCCTAGTTAATTGTCTGTAACTAGCCTTTACCATAAGGATTGTACCTTACTGTATGGGTGTGTATTTGAGACAAAAGGCCTTTCCCATCAAGAATACATGTTTACAAAAAATTGCAACTCACCTGTAAAGCAATCAATTCTAGAAGCAATGGAGCATTTATTTGCCAAGTAACGAGAGATTCTTCCTTTGTTGGCTGCCCCAGCACGTCCAATAAATGTAGAGTGATAAATTAAACCATATTTTGGAGTATTGCTCCTCGTCTTTATGGCCCGAAACAGTGCCTTTTCAGCTCCAAGAATCTGCACAGTTGAAGCGGGATACTTTGCTAAGTTGGTCAAGGATCCGGCATGAGAGATGAGACGGGCACCTACCCGCTCTCCAATGAGAATAGACAAATTAGGTGCGACTGATGCCATCTTACTTTTCAGGTATTCTGCCAGCTGCTTACGATATTCCGATAGTCCAATGACACGTTTGGCAAACCGTTCAATATTCATCAAATCAATGGGAGATATGTCCATACCTGAAATGGAAATTTAAGTGTTAATACTTTATGAAGTAAAAGTTGTGTGCTGATTTTCAAATAAAATTACGGTGTATAGAGTTTACCATTTCAGGAAATATTAGAGATAAAATATAACTACACGGTTCACTTGAACTAGGGCAACCGAGATAACCATTCACACACCTTCTCAAGAATACCGAGACAATTTTATATAATCTTCAACAAATAATTGCAATTGCCAAGTTCAACAAACAATTGTCTTCCCTCAATGCACTACAAAGTACCCAAATATAAATTTAGCTACTGTACTTGTACACAATGTTAAGGTAATACAATGTATGGAATGTATAGTTGATACACATTAAGGGTGTACATTCACATACAATAGAAAATTTAGAAAACTTTCTGGCCATGCAATTTTAACTAATACAAAATATTTATAAATCACAAAGGTATTCAATGACAGTTTGAATAACAAGAACCCATCAAATCAGAGATGACAAACTAATGATACTTTTTAATACTTTGACACCCTGATGATGAAATCTGTGGCATAAGAACAATACACACAGTGCATGCTAACGCAAACAGCGTCATCAATTAATAAATTTGTAAAAATTCCACTTATTGTCCGAATAATATGAAACTTCTTTAGTCACACAATGAACAGCCGATACATAATAGCCACACAATTTATGCACCTTTTATTTTATTTACAAGATCGAAGTGAAGGGACAAATACTATATAACATGACCTATAATCAAACATCTATTGAACAGTGTGACAGAACTTACCCATCGACATCCTAGATGCATCCAGTATGGCTTGTGCCTTAGCAGAATCCATTACAATCTCCTCCAATTCTTCCAAATTATCTTCTGAAATATGCTTGCGGTCTTTGATGAAGTTAGCGCACAAGCCATACTGATAATTGTCAGTAACTATTTTGGCAAGTTCTGGGAAGTGATAGGAGTACCATTCCCTGGAAGACAAATATATGATAAGCAAGATTGCAGCCGTTACTATTTTTTAACTGCAGGATTGTATGAACAATCCTAAAATTATTTAAGAATTAGTGTTATATTTAAAATATTTAACTGATGGAAAATAGTTCTTACAAACTGACCATTAAAATCAAATACTGTATTGATCAAATAAAAGTAGTGTCTGGCGATACATACTTGATACGCATTGCGAATGTGTTAATGTCTTTATCAAGCTGATCAACCAAAGCAATGCTTTGAATAATCATGTTATCCACTCTGTTGACATTGAATTTCACTTTTCCTCTTGAGTATGAGTGGCCTAAACCCAGCTCTGTTTGCTTCATAGAAGCTGGAGTCAGACCTTTTACAAACTGGTCCAAGTGTGTCCGGATACCACGTACAATCTGGAGCAAATAAATATTTGAGTCAAAATCTCCATGCCAACTAACTACAGTACAGGCATTCTTGCACAAACATGACAAAACATTCCATATAACCCTTTTAAATTAATGCCTATATGAAAGTGCCAAAAGCTGTGTACTTACCTCAGGAATAACTCCAATGTGTGTGACCGAGACATTTAACTGCTCATTAATGGCAGCCCCTAATTTAGCATCCGATACTCCTAACTGGACCTGGTTCTTCTTCCCTGTTTTTGGCAAGTTAGTCTCCAAAAAGGCACTAAGATCTTCTGTTACGAGACCTGAAAGAATAACGTAAATGGTACAGTATCTACTAAAACATGAAACCAGGAACAAAGCAGATGTCAATCACTAGGATCTTGCATAGTTTCTCAACCATAAACAAATTTTATAATGGCAAAGTAAATATAAACTAGACACTAATCACAGCCAATCAAGGCGGTATCCCTAAGGCCAGCATATCTCAAGACAGGAACAGTGGTGTAATGAGTACACAAGGAGTAATGAGTATACAAGGAATGATGAATACAAGGTGCTGAATTATAATAGTACAGTACTTATAATGAATACCGACTATAATGGACACCAAATAGTAACTATGCTTTCTCTTCTAGTCTTTTATACCCAAGGTGTTTATCAAATAATTGAGAGAAAAAAAGGTTGGCTAGTTATGCACCTTATATTTAGAAAGGATGTTAACTAGCTTTGGGCTCTTAATGTTTATCGCATTGTCTCCTAACTATATGCTATACAGTACTTTGACATTTTCAATTATGCTGTTTTACACGTTCAATGGTGTCCCTACTGATTACACAAGAAATTATTTCAATATCTAGAGATGGAAACTGTCCCTCTTAACATATTCCAGTTGCAAATTATTATGCATTTAGCATAATAATTTGCCATCATAAAAATGAGAGTTTGTCTACTCCCCTATAAGGAATTGTATTGCTTTCTCATCACTGAGAAGTCCAGTTATAAATTGCATTTATTAGTTCTGTATCTGTCAAGCCCCACGATTGAATGTTGGGAAAACAATTATAATATTTCAGTCAGTGTTAGATCGTTTTTCTAGTAGTAATAACCGACAGGCCAGGTGGGGGTTTTCTTACGAGAAACATAAATGCTAACATCGTAAACAAGTATGGAGTTAATGGAGTCAATGGAGTTAACCAAAGGGTTAAAGAACTTTAAGAACATTTTTATGCTAATAACAAGTGGATGAAAATACATGATGGCTATTGTAATTTTGAAGAATTTGCAACAAAGTTAAAAGGTTCATGAAAAAGTACAGTAATATAGTATTTTATATGGCACAGTTTAAAGACAAATAAAGATAAAATGAATGTCTATTCTTAAAAAAAAAATCTGTAGGTGTTCACAACCAATACTACTGGGGTTATTATTCGCCTTCATCAGGACATATGTATAAAACTTTGAAGCAGCTACATTATTAGTTTAAATATTGGAAGGCATATCTTGAGTAATGAGCTAATAAGTAACTTATTAACTCATTACTAAAGTCTGCCATGAGAGGGGTTACATATTCCAGTAACAAATGGATCTTATTTTATATTCATTTTATTTCTATTCTATATATTAAAATGGGATGGGATTTTCTAAATGGGATCTTCACTGCACCACTACCATTTATGTCTAGAAATTTTCAAGCCCAACATGTGATGGTAGTCTCCAAATATCACACAGGTACTAAATTTTAATTTTTATAAGTGTGAAATGATGTATGCCTTTGGAAGAAACAAAGGTCCCATTGCTCTACACTTCCAAATATATATAGGAAGCATACTTTTTGATCATGTATTAATGTTTGAAATTTGAAATCGTATGGATTGTAAAACATTTGTGTATGGAGATGTCAAGCAGGGAACTAAAGATTACAAAACCAAATGGTATCCATAGCAGGAATACCTTGATAATGACTATACTGAATGAGACAGGTTATCGCGAGGTTATCTCAAGATGATTTCGGGGCTTAGCGTCCCGGTCCTCGACCAGGCCTCCTTTTTTGTTAGACATCCCCCAGGAAGCAGCTGTCTTAACTCCCAGGTACCTATTTACTACTAGGTGAACAGGTACATCAGGGTGAAAGAAACTGCCCATTTGTTTCTACCTCCAACGGGGGATCAAACCAGGAACTCAGCACGAATCCTGAGTGCTGTTCACTCGGCCATCACCTGGCCTGGGGCAGTGGATGATTTGTACATTACTTAGTCAAAGACCAAGACTTCCTTACACTAGTGTAGTAGAATATCAGAAAGCAACTTACCCTCAGATATGGCATTAATATTTTCCAGAGCAGAGGCAGCAGAGGTAAAAGCCTTGAAGCCTACCAATTTGACCACCTGTTGGAACTTGGCGGCCTGAGTGGCTGCTGCCTCTACTTCAGGAATGAATGCTCCTACTTCTTCAAACTCCTTCACGCTAAACAGGCCATAGCCTGAAGCGTGCTCAAATAGCACATACAACTGTGAGCAAAAAAATAATTAAACATTAGCATTGAAAAAATAGTTAATCATGAAATTTATTGTATTTGTTAATTTTTAACTCATTTCTTATTGTTGAAAAAAATCAAACAGTATGGCACAAAGTATATACAAAACAATAACATTTTTATGCAACTGGCACCCATTATGGGCAATTATAACTGAAGACTGACCTAATGAAGATAGAAAGAGTTCATGGTACAGTTTCGTGTTAGTGTTATTACATCCTTTGATGCTTTAGGCATCAAAGGATGTACAGTGGTACCTCGGAATACGAGTGTCCCTGTATACGAGTTTTTCGAAATACGAGCAGGATTTGCTCGGAAGGCGAGGGTTGCCTCGGAAGACGAGTGTGTCGATACGCGTACAGGCCGACTAGCGCGTGGTGGCACGGCGATTGCGCCACAGTTTACCAGTGCCTCACGGCCAGTGACTATCCTGCCTGAATTCTTCACAAGGATTTACAGTTTTTTGTTAGATTTTTGCCCATTTGAGCATAAAAGTTGTTATTATATATCTCGCCATGGGTCCCAAGAAAGTCAGTGGTAAGGTTCAACCAAAGAAAATAGCTGTGAGTAGAGGCAGTAGAGGATGTCCCTTCTTCATTAAGAAAATGTGTGAAGTATGGGAAGAACTGCAAAGTTTTGTTGAAAAAACTCACCCAGATAAAGCTGTAGCAGGCCGTTGCATTGACCTTTTAAATGACAATGTGATGTCTTATTACAGACAAGTGTTAAAATGTAAAGAAAAACAAGTGTCTTTAGACAGATTCTTAGTAAGACAAGCAAGCAGTGAGCCACACGCAGGTCCTAGTGGTATGCAGGCAAAAGTGTCAGAGTGCACACCAGTGAAGTCCTCACTGCCTGATGTTATAATGGAAGGGAACTCCCCTTCCAAACAGTAACACCTCTCCACCTCTTTACCATCTTCCATATGCCAACAGCAGTCATCAGCAAGGGTAAGTAATAACTTGAACATAGTTTTGTTGGTTTATTTAGATGAATTAGGTATAAAATTTAGTTTGAAGTGAGGTTTTTGGGTAGTCAGGAACAGATCAATTCATTTCCCATTATTTCTTATGGGGAAATTACCTTCGGATTACGAGCCGTCTCCAAGAACGGATTAAACTCAAACCGAGGTACCCCTGTAATTCTACTGGGTATTGTACTGGGTTGTTTTACAATCCAGCGGTAAAGTTGTTTGTATACTGACCTAGTTGTGCTTGCAGGGGTTGAGCTTTGGCTCTTTGGGCCTGCCTCTCAACTGCCAATCTACTGGTGTACAGATTCCTAAGCTTTGCGAGCTCTTTTCTCGAGCTTCTCGAGCTCTGTGCGTGTGTTAGAGAGAGAGACTTGTGTTTAACATTATCTAATCTAGCCTAGCGTACACAATCCTAAAACAACCGAAACATAACAAAATTAAGATAAAGCTTGGTGTTCTATATATTGTGTGCATGAGGCATGATAGTCACTATGATGCCAATATTTATCTTATTTAAATATATATATTTAATTATAAATATTTAAATATGTATACACACACACACATACACAGGAGAGTTCTTACATTCTTATAAAGCCACTAATATGCACTTAATTTTTCATAGGAATACGACCCAACAATAATTTAACCAGGTATCCATTCACTGCTGGATGAATAGAGGCGTACAGTTAAGGACTGGCACCCAATCAATCCTCCCAGGATATGAACCCGGGCCAAATCGATCACGAAGCGTGGGCGCCACAGGACTGCATTTTTAATGTGGACCTCTGATTTAGATCCTATTTGTGATCCTATCAGCCAGCTGTATAAGTAACCATCACAAAACACTGGCCTAGAGTTGGGTGTCAGGGTCGCATGTACGTGGGGTCGTATGTGTGTGTAGGGGTTGTATGTGTTTGTGTGTGGGTTTGTGTTTGTATGTAGGTCGTATGTGTTTGTGTGGGGGTCATGTGTTTGTGTGGGGGTCATGTGTTTGTGTGGGGGTCATGTGTTTGTGTGGGGGTCATGTGTTTGTGTGGGGGTCATGTGTTTGTGTGGGGGTCATGTGTTTGTGTGGGGGTCATGTGTTTGTGTGGGAGTTGTGTGTTTGTGTGGGGGGGGGGTCGTGTTTGTGTGGGGGTCATATGTTTGAGTGGGGGTCGTATGTGTTTGAGTGGGGGTTGTGTTTGTGGGGGTAGTGTTTTTGTGTGGGGGGGTTGTTTGTAGGGGTAGTGTTTTTGTGTAGGGGTCGTGTGTGTTTGTGGGGGTAGTGTTTTTGTGTAGGAGTCGTGTGTGTTTGTGAAAGGGTCGTGTATGTTTTCGTGAGGGTCGTGTGTGTTTGTGTGAGGATCATGTGCGCGCCTGCTGCAGTCACCACTCTACATCATGGCTCCTCACAACACACTTCACTAACTTATCCTCACCATTTTAGCGTCTAAAGTTCTTCTAGGTGGTACATGCAGTGTGCATGAAGGGTCCAAGGTTCAGTTCACGACACGGAGGCTTCTCCCGTCACCATGTGGAAGCTGCCCTCCATAAACACATGCCTGGCTTCCACAACGCTCCTCTGATTGGCTAATGAGCAGCTGGTTGTCTCCACCGACCAATCACGAGAGACTAATCAACTGTGTTTACGCTCCTACCTACGTGAGCATCACTTTGCGAAGCCCAAAAGGAAGCCTAAACTGTGGAAACCTTTTTATTTATTTATTTATTTATTTATTTATTTATTTATTTATTCATATATATGTACAAGAAGGTACATTGGGTTTATGAGAGTACATGGCATTGATGTTTTTACATGCTTGCAAAGCCACTAACACGCATAGCGTTTCGGGCAGGTCCGTAATCTAACAGATAATTTTAAATAGGGAATATATACCTAAATATATATAGGTAATATTTATATATACAAGAGTTCTTACATTCTCGTAAAGCCATTAGCACGCACAGCATTTCGGAAAGATCCTTAATACTTATTTTTCCCCGGAATTCGACTCGCCAAATCGTTTAAGAACCTCAAATTTAATGTATGTCATACAATAATAAAATCAACGGACTCAGATGTTAGCACTGCTCGGCTTAGACTCGGCTATAAATATATCTGGGAATTTGCATTACCTGTTGATGTATACAATGTAAATTGTGTCAACTAAATTATTCGCTCACACTCCATCACTATATGTGATGAAGCGCGAAAAGATACGTGAATTCAGAGAGAACTCTATAATAAATGTTCAAGAGATGTGTAAATATTTCATTCAAAAGTATCTACTGCCAGAAATTTTAGCCAAATATCCTCCGTTTGCTAATTGTAAGTAGTTACAGTGGTGATTGTAACGGATACTAGTCACTTGGTACACAAGACGGAAGCCACACACATATTTTTACCATTTCGGACACAAAATTAGTACCTTTTGTATATATCACTGCTCAGTATGAAAACCACAATATAATGCTATTAACAAATTAAAATCTTCTACTTAACAGGCATATAGTTATTAAATGAAGTGAAGTGATCCACTTGAAGTGGAGTGATCAAAGAGAAGTTTCCTGCCCGAAACGCTTTGCGTAATAGTGGCTTTAGACATTGTATGTACTAGCTCTATCTATGAATCCATCAACTTTTGTATTTCAATTTGTATGTATGTACTTTACCTGAATAAATAGTTGTATTTTGTATTTGTATTTGTAAGAAAAAAGTGAAGTGAAGGCACACAAACATGGTCGAACGCACAAAACACTTGACTGTGTTGATGTGATGACTTATATTGAATTTTGTAACTAGCTCATCAAGATTGTAACTTGCTTAGCTAAATGAATTGTGGGGTTCAGTCCCTGAGCCCATTATGTGCCTCTGTAACCCTTTCCACTACCGCCCACAAGATGGGTATGGGGTGCATAATAAATGAACTAAACTAACTGTGGCCAGTTTTGTGGGAGACTCCTATTACATTTACTGTGGTAGTTATACTTGTATATAATAATAATATGTATTAAGGTTGAACGCCTAACATGTAATATTAATTAATAACATCAAGGTCAGAAGCCACACGCCTGTCCCACATGTTTGTTGTGTTAAAGTATTTTGGGAGGGTGCTCTTGTACTTGTGCGCTAGCTGGTGTTCGCAACTGATCTCTCCTTTCATGGACTTGATTTAGTCAATCATAATGATTATATATATATATTATATTATATTATATATATATATATATATATATATATATATATATATATATATATATATATATATATATATTGGTAGCAGTCTTTCCTGTAGACATATATTATTAAATATGACCGAAAAAGTAAGATTAATAATTCTAACGCGAATTTTCTCAATCTTTCGTACATTACGCTTCACTGTTGGAGGTAAATCAAAAATCACTTCTCCAAAATTCATTTTTATTTCTAGTCTGACGCGACACGGGCGCGTTTCGTAAAACTTATTACATTTTCAAAGACTTCACAAATACACAACTGATTAGAACTTACGTATCTCTGATTTTATATCTACATTTGAGTGAGGTGGGAGGGGTGATGTGGCATTAACACAGGACAAAACAAGAGGGGATATTAATAGGGTATTAAAAGTATCAACACAAGACAGAACAGAAACAATGGGTATTGAATAGAAGTGTTTGTAGAAAGCCTATTGGTCCATATTTCTTGATGCTTCTATATTGGAGCGGAGTCTTGAGGTGGGTAGAATACAGGTCTTTGAAAATGTAATAAGTTTTACGAAACGCGCCCGTGTCGCGTCAGACTAGAAATAAAAATGAATTTTGGAGAAGCGATTTTTGATTTACCTCCAACAGTGAAGCGTAATGTACGAAAGATTGAGAAAATTCGTGTTAGAATTATTAATCTTACTTTTTCGGTCATATTTAATATATATATATATATATATATATATATATATATATATATATATATGTCGTACCTAGTAGCCAGAACGCACTTCTCAGCCTACTATGCAAGGCCCGATTTGCCTAATAAGCCAAGTTTTCCTGAATTATTATATTTTCTCAATTTTTTTTCTTATGAAATGATAAAGCTACCCATTTCATTATGTATGAGGTCAATTTTTTTTTATTGGAGTTAAAATTAACGTAGATATATGACCGAACCTAACCGTCCCTACCTAACCTAACCTAACCTATCTTTATAGGTTAGGTTTGGTTAGGTAGCAGAAAAAGTTAGGTTAGGTTAGGTTAGGTAGTCGAAAAAACAGTAATTCATGAAAACTTGACTTATTAGGCAAATCGGGCCTTGCATAGTAGGCTGAGAAGTTCGTTCTGGCTACTAGGTACGACATATATATATATATATATATATATATATATATATATATATATATATATATATATATATATATATATATATATATATAATATAATATAATATATATATAATCATTATGATTGACTAAATCAAGTCCATGAAAGGAGAGATCAGTTGCGAACACCAGCTAGCGCACAAGTAATATTAAAAACAGTCACTATACAAGGCACTTTACATCTGTGGTGAGTCACACACTATATAAAATCACCTAACATGTAATAGCTACGGTTTCAAGCTCCACAAGTTAGTACACAGTTACTAGTCTTGCTCCACACCCACCCATCTGGAGTATCCAAAATTATATATAGTAATCGAATAAAATTCATAGTTTAGATATACCAGAGATGAAACAGAAAGCCATAAGCTAGCGTCCATAAGGAGGCGAGACTTCTAGCAAATACCTTCCTGTGATTGGCTGCTGCGGGGATTGGCAACACTCTTTTTATGAATCAAATGTTAACTAAGAAATATACGTCCTTTTGCACAACAACCTTGTTGTTGTATTAAAGAACAACAAATTCTGTTTTGTACCTAACAGAAATTTACATCTAACTGAATAATTTAGTCCAATAAGAGGGCGAAGCATTGTATCATCAATGTTATTTGTGTCCAGGCAACCCCACTCATGACGTCACACATTAGGTAGCCAACAGGTCATTTTTATATAACACTTGTTATCTCTTGCAATATGTAATTATCACTAATTAACACTTTTTAAGTAATTAACGCTTTACTTTTTGAGTAGATTAAAGCTAAAACAGAATGTCATAAGTAGGGCTGGTGTTCTGAACTAAGATGATTTATTTAGTGGAGGGAACCTTTAGCTGATCCCTTCCTGTGATTGGCTGTTGTGAATGTCAACAAAGAGTTTCTACCAATGATATGCCAGCAGGGGAATTCTTACTTCGCCACAACAACCTGCCTTATGGGCTGCTGTTTGGCTGTTTGTAGTACATGGGCGACGAAATTGATGGCGTTAGCTGTATTTCGAAGGGTGGCATGTTAATAGTGTAATTTGATGTCAACAGATGGCATAAGCTGTATTTTATTGCTACTGTTGACCAGCCAGTTGATAGTGTTCTTTTCTGCCAACAGATGGCATCAGCTTTATTATTATTACTTCCGAATTACCTTTAAATACTTATCTACAAATCCCGTAGCTTATAATAAGATTTTATATCAAGCTGGCATTAGGAGTTCTGCAATTATTTTTCTTTAATCTACTGTTGAGGATATCATTATATAACGTCGTAGCTTTTTGTTGAGATGTAAAGTATTTCCAAATAAATTAAACATCAGTTCGTAATATTATTAAAAAAACGAATTATACATATAATAACAGCAATTCACATTGATAATACTTGGATATATAAAAATTTGGTAATTTTTTTGGCAGGGATACGCTCAAAACACTGAACTGTGGCCAGTTATATAATAATTAATAATTCATTGTGTCGAGTTAGACAGGTTAAATATCCCAAAAGGAATTCACAGGGAAACAGCAGTTCGGTTATATAGACTACGTCTAGGTTACAAATACAACTGGGAAATTGTTGAACCCAGAGAGAGGGAATGTATCTTCTGCCAGTCACAGAAAAGCCACTACTTCATTAACTCCTGATATGTGAAGCAACCAACTTCCTGAATCCCTGAATCTTCCTGAGTCCCTGAATCTTGCAGTATCCACCCTGAAGTAACCCCCAATGATCACCTATTAGCTCCCTCCAGGATTAGGAAAGACTTGGGTAAATACTGATTTGGTAACAGGGTTGTGGATTTGTGGAACCAATTACCGCGTAACTTAATAGATGTAGGATCCCCTTGATTGTTTCAAGCGTAGGTTAGACATACATATGAATAAGTTTGGGTTGATATAAATAGGAGCTGCCACGTATGGGCCAATAGGCCTTCTGCAGTTACCTTGATTCTTATGTTCTTATTATGTTCGGTTTGGGTTTCTGATGCCACACTGATCAGTTTGCAAATCAACAACTTTGTATATTCTTACAAAGAATATACAAAGTTCTTATTCAACTTTTTATATTCTTTGACCAAGAATATAGCTCAAAATTCTGCAGATTCTGAGGACCCCTTAGTGTTCAATTACTCATTGTCGGTTGCATTCAAGTCCTCTTTACATACAGTATTATATTTATAATAATACTAATTCATTGTGTCAGAAGACAGCCAGCCAGAGTGTATTCATACACGTTAGGCTTATATTGAGGTAACCCCCCCCC